GCTGTGGGTGCAAGCAAAATATTCCTCAATTGGACCGTAAATGATGGCAACGATCCCGTCCAGAAGTATTTCATTTCATTCTCCCAGCAGGGATCACCCACATACACATACTACAAGGATATCATTAATGGCAACAATACGTCGTATATTTTGGAATCATTCCTGCCAAACACTACCTACTCCCTGCGAATCCTCGGCAAGAACTCGATCGGTGATGGAGCACCCAACCAGTATCCCATGGCCATAACCACCCTCTCCTTTGATCCCATATTTATTCCCAAAGTGGAAACGACGGGCAGCACAGCGTCTACGATAACCATAGGCTGGAGTCCGCCGCCCCAAGATATAATTGAATATATACAGTATTACGAACTGATTGTGTCCGAGTCGGGAGAGGTGCCCAAACTGATTGAGGAAACAATTCACCAGCAAAACTCAAGAAATCTACCCTACATGTTTGATAATCTTAAAACGGCCACGGAGTACGAATTCAGAGTGCGGGCCTGCAGTGATCTGACAAAGACCTGTGGTCCCTGGTCGGATGTCGTGAATGGCACCACCATGGACGGTGCGGCGACAAAGCCCACAAATCTGACCATTCACTGCCATCATCAAAACAATTCCAGACTCAATTCCATATCGATAAGTTGGAGTTACCCCAAGGTGCCAAATGGGAAGATCATTTCATATTTGATTACTTTGGAGGGCAACTATAGGTACACGCTCGCGAGTAATGTATTCAACGAGAAGTGGGGACCAAAGATCCGGCGGGTGGATGAGCCCCACCACAAGACCACCTATGACGGTGTTAGCCCAAACACAAATTACTCCGTGACCGTTTCGGCCATCACGCGCCACAAGAAGAATGGGGAACTGGCGGGCGGACATTGTGTGATGCCCGTGTCCACGCCCGATGTCGTCGGCCGTACGATGTGGTCCAAAATTAAACATGGCTCGAAATATCTATTAAAATTGTATCTACCTAAAATTAGCGAACGCAACGGGCCCATATGCTGCTATAGATTGTATCTGGTGAAAATAACCAATGCCAACAAGGAATTGCCAACGCCAGATAAACTAAATATCGACACTTATCATCAGGTGCACAGCGAGAATGCCACCAAGGCCTATGCCTATATAGCAGAAATGATCAGTAGCAAATACTTTAAGCCGGAGATCTTTCTCGGCGATGGCAATCGATTTGTGGAGAACCCTCAACTAATGGACAACGATGAGATATGCCGCAGATGCCTGGAGGGTACGGCATTCCTTAGAAAAGCTGAACTGCCACAGAAAACACCAATGGGTTCACGTAATATATTGCCTATATCCATAGACATTATAGTCCCTAAATGCTATTATTTTCCTTGAATATTTCTTTTAGATTCCGAATTTCGCATTTCATCGCAAAAGGAACAGCTGATTAAGGCCGGAAATTTAACAGAAAATGCTTTTAAAATATTGGAAAATAAAAAGCGCATCAGGCGCAATACAATTAATCCAAATAGCGAACATAATTCAAGCTCCAATCCAACCCAAGATGTCCTCCCGACTCCTGCCGCTGTCCATGATATATGGGACGGCGAGATAGATATTAATGCCAATTATACAGGATTTCTGGAAATAGTTGGTAAGCATTTCTGACATTCCGTTTAAATGCAATCGTTCTAAGTCCATATTTTCTATTTGCAACAGTGCGCGACGTGAATGGAGCACTCTTAGCATACAGCGATTATTTTGATGTAATTACGCCAGCCACAGAAGCGGAGCCAAATCATTCGTTGAAGGATATGGACTACTATTTGAATATTGGCATCAAAGCGGGCGCCATATTATTTGGCATAATCATTGTCTTTTTTACACTATGGATTTTCCATCACAACAAGACCAAAAATGCAATGCCCGGAGAAGATGCATTAACATTAAGGGACTCGTTGAGGTAATTATTGCATTGATGGAAGCTACTGTCTTTTACCCGATTTGGCACAACTAATACATATATATAATTTTACCGTATTATTAGGGCGTTTTTCGGACGTCGAAGCCACAATCACAGTCATTTTATTACGTCTGGCAACCACAAAGGTTTCGATACTGGACCCATCCAAAGATTTGAACTGGAAACTGCTTATAAAAATCGTCACAAGGACACTGATTATGGATTCCTGCGCGAATATGAAATGCTGCCGAATCGATTTAGCGACCGAACAACGAAAAATAGTGACATTAAGGAAAACGCATGCAAAAATAGATACCCCGATATTAAGGCCTATGATCAGACTCGCGTGAAGCTGGCGACTGCGAACGGCCTTCAATCAACCGATTATATAAATGCCAACTTTGTCATTGGCTACAAGGAGCGGAAGAAGTTTATTTGCGCACAGGGTCCCATGGAGAGTACCATAGACGACTTCTGGCGCATGATATGGGAACAGCATCTGGAGATAATTGTGATGCTCACAAATTTGGAGGAGTATAACAAGGCAAAGTGCGCAAAGTATTGGCCTGAGAAAGTATTTGATACTAAGCAGTTTGGAGATATTTTAGTGAAATTCACTCAAGAGCGAAAGACTGGCGATTATGTTGTACGAACTTTGAATGTTTCGAAAAGCAATCTTATTGGCGATGAGGAGGATCGCAGAGAGATTACCCAATACCACTATTTAACGTGGAAGGATTTTATGGCACCGGAACACCCGCACGGCATTATCAAATTTATACGACAGATTAATTCAGTTTACTCTCTTCAGCGAGGTCCCATTCTAGTGCATTGCAGTGCCGGTGTGGGTAGAACCGGTACACTAGTCGCATTGGATTCCCTTATACAACAATTGGAGGAAGAAGACTCAGTTTCTATATACAACACCGTATGTGACTTACGACATCAGCGCAATTTTTTAGTTCAGTCTCTGGTAAGTCGAAAACTAGATCAGGAAAGCTTTCTACAATTTACTAATACCATAATTTGTTATTTTCCTTTTAGAAACAATACATTTTTCTATATCGCGCTTTGCTAGACACCGGAACATTTGGAAATACGGATTTATGTATTAATTCAATGGCATCGGCAATTGAATCACTTAAGCGAAAACCGAATGAGGGTAAATGCAAATTGGAAATGGAATTCGAGGTATGTGCTATAATTAGGTTTTAGTTTACATCAGTGGGAGGAGTCCAACAAAATCGAAAGGAAACCAGAGAAACTCTACTCGACCATACCATGCCGCGTTTTAAAATTATGTTCATTGAATTTCAGAAACTATTAATCACCATGGATGAGGTGAATAAATCATGCTCTGTTGGCGAAAACGAAGAGAACAATTCAAAGAACCGCAGCCTGGAGATTATTCCATATGATCGTAATAGAGTGAGTAATCAATGAGGTTATTTATGTACCTTTACAAGTTTTAAGTTTTTTTTTAAATTCTAGGTAATATTGACTCCACTTCCTGTGAGAGATAACTCGACTTATATTAACGCCTCTTTTATTGAGGGCTATGACAATAGTGAAACCTTCATTATTGCCCAGGATCCACTTGAAAGCACCGTTGGCGATTTCTGGAGAATGATCTCAGAGCAAAGTATTTCCACACTTGTAATGATATCTGAGGTAAGTCACATATTCATATACACACTGCCAAAAAACACTCGGTGACTTATACATCCATTTATTTGCACAGATTGGAGATGGTCAAAGAAAATGTCCACGCTATTGGGCCGATGATGAAATCCAATATGATCATATACTTGTGAAATATGTGCACAGCGAGAACTGCCCCTACTATACGCGGCGCGAATTCTATGTTACGAACTGCAAAATCGACGACACATTGAAAGTAACACAATTTCAGTACAACGGTTGGCCAACCGTTGAAGGGGAAGTTCCTGAAGTATGTCGGGGAATAATAGAACTTGTGGATCAAGCATACAACCATTACAAAAGCCATAAAAATATTGGTTGTCGATCGCCCCTTACAGTTCATTGCAGGTAATTAACTTAGAAGCGTCTCTCTTATTTTTCCCAATTTAATATCCTTACCATGTTTATCCCACAGCCTCGGGACTGATCGAAGTTCTATTTTCGTGGCCATGTGCATTTTAGTCCAGCATCTTAGATTAGAGAAATCAGTTGACATCTGTGCAACAACAAGGAAATTAAGATCTCAGCGACCGGGACTTATCAACTCATACGTAAGTAAAAAGTTATAATATATTAAAAAATATATATGTAATGGCATTCGTTAATTTTCATTCAGGCACAATACGAGTTCCTACATCGCGCAATAATGAATTATTCAGACTTACACCATTTATCGGAGTCGATAGAGGATTGAGAGGGTTACGTATAAGCGAGAACATGGCACCACGTGGGTGGTATGTCAAAATGCAAAGTGTGTTTTGGTAAATTATTTGTATATTTATAAAACTATCTTTTAATGACGTATTTAAGTAAATTCAGTTTGCCTGAATATAATTTACACAAAATATGTATGTATGTAGGTGTACACGTATAATATTGATAATGCTACCAAAGGAAAATAAGAAGACATATATTTTATAAGACGAAATATAATAAAAATTAAGATTACAAATTTCATATACAGACAGGCTCCAGTTTGCACTTACTTTTGCGTTTTCAAGCAAAACGCTTTCGTTTTTAGGTGCTCCGGTTTTCGCAAATGTTTGTCATCGATATGATTTATTTTCGCACATAATTTAGTGCTGTTAAGCGCACGCTTTAGTGTACGGCTTCTACAAAAGGCCTCTGTTATGAGTAACAGAGATTTTATTACGATGTATCCATACCGAAAACGGAAAGTGCTGTGGTCTTGACCAAATCCATACTAAGTAGAAAAAATAATATAAAATTAAAGAAATGTATTAATTTATAAAAGATAAATTTAATTTTCTATTTAATCGGAATTGAGTTTTTGTCGATTTGAAACAACGGAATATGGAATGCTTCGCATTGATTTATTTATTCTGATGGATTTCTGACAAATCTCGCTGTTGGTCACACTGGTGTTTACATTTTGTGGTAGCAATTAACTAGAAGAAAAAAAAAACCGAAATGGATGATCCGACCGTACTAATCCTGTCTTATGGCTCAAAGACTGCCCTGGAAATCGCCGAAGGTATGTACTGCAGACTGTATATAATTGTAAAGCATATGGAAATACATCTTTACCACGATATCTTTTTAATGTAACGTGCACCCCGTCTGATTGATTTTCTAAACTGCTGCTGTGCGTGCCTGTGTCTGGGTCTATTCTATTCTATCTTTTGGCTACACCTGCTATTTACCAATTTAGGCATCCTGTCTGAAATGGATCAACCAAAGACACCGATAAATAACGAAGTTTCTTCACATTTCTATAAATGCAAGATTAAAACGAAATACTTTAACACTTCGGTCAATCTAATTCCTTTCGACGGAAAGTGGGAAAATGTTCCAACTGAAATTACTAAAGACACTGAAGCTGTAATAATCTTTTTTGACGCCAACGATGTAAGTGCAACCAATCTTGATCAACAAAAACCATCGTCATCCATCCTTCCATTTGCAGATGAACTTTTTGCACACTTTCTCAGATACTTTCTTAAAGGATTGTCCATTGAAACTTGGGTTTCTGTTGACAACTTCGTTTCCATGTGAGGAAAAAGGAATATCCCTGTCAGACCTGAGGAAGCGCACGAATTTCATTTTCGACTTTATATCTCTGAAGAGCAATGCCGAAACCGAATCGACAGCGACATCAACTCCTGGTCCAACAGAAGATCAATATCAAGAAATTGTGGATGGTTTGAGAAACGTTGTCTGGTCAAATGTGGAGATAAGTACGAAATCGGGTTAGTATGCTTGATAAATCTTATAGTACCGATCATTTAATGCAAATACTTTATTTAGTACTCGCCCAGCAGATGAAATCGTTAAGTTCTGAGGATTTGGATACGCAATTAAATGATTTCGAAAATCTTTTGATTACTGCGCAAAGTTTACGCAGCGATACCCGTTTAACGAGAGACGAGTTCCTCGACAAAGCGGAGGAGCTGGCCGGCGTAATGTCCAACATTTTAAATGATAATGATAGCGACTAAGCTTGTCTCTAACGTATCGTTAGCGAACATATCGTACTCTTTGGTTACAATATACACATATACTAAAATCTGACAAGACGAACCTTATAATTTATAATTATTAAGCATAAATCGTATGTTCTTGTCTGGCTAAAGAACGAGTATATGATGTCATAAGCATTTATTCCACGACACTTCCTGCAGCTGCAGAATAAAAGAAGACTCTAGGTTAACGGAAAATCGGAAACTTATCCAACATACGTCGTCTATAATCGTTATTATAATGTATCAAAGTATAAAAAACCATTCGACTTTTATATGCAAATCCACAAGTAATATTCTATTCGTTTTATTGAATTACTTTTCAGATGGATCTCCAGTTAAACAGCTTTGTTTTTATAAATAAATACTGTTTGAGTAAATTCAACAGACATGTATCTAAAATGTTTTCTTTTGTTTAGTTTTATTAAATGTAGGAGTTACAAAATCAACGTCGGTTTGATCCTCCCCTGCCTCGGCCGCGTCCTCTGGGTCCTCCACGTCCTCGCGCGCCTCTTCCTCTGCCACGATTACCAACGCGACCGCTGTCCTTCTTCTTTGTCTTCGATTTCGGGGTGTCATCTATCAGCAATGTTTCCAATGGCAAGCTGTCCGGCAGTATAAAGTATCTTATATTGTTGCCACGGATGCTCAAAGACTCCAGGTGAACAGGATCTCTGTTCTTGATGGTCATCCGGACACTCTTGAGGTGAGTATTCATGGCCACATCTACGCCTGTTATGGTACCGTGTATTTGAGTTCCATTCTTCAGCTCGATGGTCACAGTCTCGTGACTAAGCTTCATTAGAAATCTGAACGAAAAGGAGTGTATTAGTGGGGATAAAGTGATGTTATTAATGAACTGTCTTGATTCCTAGCAAACGTTTTGAAGCCGCAACATTTCCATTTATTCCCTTGCTGCAGCTAGTGCTATTGTTTTAATGTTTAAAGACCCTCAAAGCAGTCCACAAAGCGCTTTTATTACAGGCAGTTTTTTCAATATTGAAGGTATTTACTTTTTCACTAGAAACTCGTGGGTTCCACTGTACATAGATTATAGTCACATAGGAATATGTTTTCATTCATGAACCGGCCTATATGCACTTTATAAGAAATACAAAAAAACGCTTCCTTCTGTCTGCGCACAGACACGCACACACACACGCAACCTCTGGTTCTGCAGGAGCACAGCTCTACTGAAATACATATGTACATATGTATGCATGTGTGCGCTAGCGTTTGTGGAAATTTTGGACGCCAACATTTGCAAAAGTAAAATTTAACACACTAACTAAAACTCAAGCTTGCAAGAGCTAAGAAGTCACTGGAATACAGTCTTTACCAGTTTAATAAAGTCAAATGCGAACCATAAACATTTTCTTGGCCAAAACGCGCGGCAAGAAAGTGGCTGTGGGTATTTGCACAAACAAATCTCAACACGCGCTCTAGTTAACATTTAACTCTATCCAATGGTAAATGCAGCATTATGACAAACAAAATACAACTTACCTTACTAATTTCATTTTATATATTTGTTTTTAATCTTATTTTTCTGAAACACGAACGCCGGCAAAAAAAATTATTCACAAATTGTGCATGGTATGTTAAGATATCAACCCCATGCAGCCTAAAATTCATCGATTGCCGCACTGATACATACATATGTACATATGACACGCGGAAATGGAACGCTTTGGAAATAAGATTAATTAAATATTAATTTGATGAACAAATATATACATTTTATCTATTAGCATAATTATGATAATTACCAAAACTATCTGACATGTTTAATATGTATAAAATTTATTAATAAAAACCGACGGGAGTCTTGTAGCACAGTGTGACCAGGCAACAGTTAGTTTATCGACTGTATCTCTACTGAACGGAAAAAAAAACTGATTTTGTTTGGCTTTTTTCTTTGCTGCTTTTGAATTTAATTGAATTGAATTAAACGAGAAGAGACCGTGTTATGGAATTGATGCAAAAAAACAGACTAGAGAGAGACTATTTCATTAAGCACGCTTTACAAAAAGATATGTGCTGGAGTGCCTTTTTTATTTCTAGAATTTAACAACAAACAAATAGACACAATTTAGACGATTCCGTTATTTTTGGTTTATTATTAAAAGCGGTACATATATTTTTCGATACAACAAGGTATAAAACTTTGTTTATTTGCTAAAAATATGCTTGGGAAAATAACTTAGGTATATTAAGGAATGAATAAATAAAGTGTGTTTTTTATTAAATTTTAATCATAAACATAAAGATTCCAGTTTCGACGAAACGAATAATATTTTCATGGTTTGCCATTTTTCTGTAACGATAAAATATTCATATTTATAGTTATAGTTGTAAAGCCAACAATGGTGTATAGGTACGACTAATCAATGTAAAATTTTTAGGACATTAAAAACAATCTCCATGAACATACCTCCTCTGAGAAATCCATATCTTCTTTAATTTGCTTTGATCGTCGTTTTTCGTTTGATGTTAAAAGTTGTGAGACTTTAGTTTGTTTAGCTAGATCGTAGGCTTCTTTTTTACTTCGCATTGCACAGTCTTCCAGGGTTTCAGCAGCTTCAAACATGCCTTGCCTCCTGTATAGTGCACCCAGATTTTTTAGAGTGGTTGTAACTGTGGGAGAGTCCACTTTCGCAGCTTTATGCCATCCACCATATTCGCCATATGGTGTGTTTTCCCTATTATCAAATTTGTGCTCCTCACGCTCTTCGGCCACCTGAAACGAATCAATTTTTATATTAAGCAATCATAAAAGGCTTATTTTACGGCATTTTACCTGCCAGATAGGCTTATTTTTGCTATCAATCGCTCCAAATTCCCGTTCATGTGCCCTAGTCAGAACCTGCTTGTAGAGAATTTCCGCTTCTGTGTACCTTCCTTGCTTTAAATAGCAGCCAGCCAAGTTATTTTTTGTCTTGGCCACATTGGGATCGTCTGGGCCAAGCTTTGATTCATAGATGTCTAGCGCTCTTTGATAATATTTCTCGACTTCGTCGTATTTGCCTTGATTTTGGCAGAGCAAAGCGAGATTATTAAGTTGCTTGGCAACATCTGGATGGTCCTTTCCTAGAACTTTTTCGCGAATTTCCAAGGCACGCTTACACAGGGGTTCAGCATCTTTGTACTTCCCACGTTTGCCATAGAGCACTGCCAAATTATTTAAAGTGGCAGCAACGGCAGGATGATTCTCTCCAAGAGTTTTTCCCCTAATAGACAATGCGTCATTCAGTAGGTTCGCAGCCTCCTTGTACTTATTCTGGATTTGATAAATGAATATGATTAGAAAATGTTCGTTTGTTTAAGTGAATGCATATTTGCTGACCTGATCTCTATACACAAGAGCCAAAATGTTCAGCATAGTCGCAACATCAGGATGATCGTGGCCACTGGTCTTTTCGAGATCTTCCAATGCTTGTTTGCAGAGAGGAACGGCCACCTCGTATCTGGAAACACACATCGATTTGTTGCAGTCGACTCAACTTTCCATTAAGCATTAAATACAGTACCTGCCCTGCGATGCATATTGAATAACCAGATTGTGAAGCGTTCGCAAGCGTGCTGGAATTTCATATCCTGAAGTTTGGTTTGCAAACTGGCTCGGAGGAGTGGGAGACATATTATTTCTATCCTCATTGTCTTCATCGGGAAAGAGCTCAACCACAGGATCCGTTCGACTCTTTTCGCATGTGTCATCCTGGTCCTGATTCTCATCGTACTTCTTCACAGAGGCCATGAACTCAAGGTGCTTCTTTTCTTCTTCCAGCTGAGCCACCAACTGTTCGGACGCTTGAAACTTCTGTTGGGTATTGGCCAGCTCATCGCGCAACCAGGCGTTTTCCTGATGCAGGCGCCGCACTTGTGTCTTCAGCTTCTGCTTTTCGGCTTCGATGTTCTGCAGATGCGATGTGAGGGCCATCATAACCTGAGCTTCGCTTAGACCGAGTTCAATATTTTCGATGTTCTTTCTTAATATATCCGACTTTTCATTGTCCTTCTGCACTTCAGCAATGCCATTCATAATCGAAACATGTTCCACTCGCAATGCCTCGAGGCCTTGCAATACTGTTTTTGTATTGGTTATTATTTCGTCCTGCGACATTTGCGTCATTTTGCCGATTTTTTCAATTTTCTGTCTAGAAGAATATACAAGACACGATTAGGCTATAGTTAAATGAGCAAACGTATGTTAATGTTTTCTGTGAAATTATCATAGACTAGTGAAATTTTAATGAATTTTTACATCCTGTATGTTTTAATAGCTTTTGAGGCAATCATTTTAACGAAATATACATGTATACGTATTATTCACAATGCGGAAATCAATACTATAAAATGAAAATTCTATTGCGCATGACTACCGTCCAAGAGGAGGGTTGCTCTGAAGTAAATCGAATTCGAAAGTAACCGAATCTTATGCCCTTGATGTGGTTAGCATCCTTACAGAAGCGATCCAATTCGTTCCAATATATAACTTTAGTTGGTGTAAATCTGTAGAATAAAATGATTGTGACGACTATTACCATATCTTAGAGTGAGTAAAAGTTTCAATATGCTTGCAGATAATTCTTTTTTTTTACTTTCTAAAAACAATTTATTACAAGTAAATCTGCATGAACAGCTGATTGATTGGGAATGGAAGCTGTTGTTTAAGGCAAAGAATCAAATTGGAATTATTGCCATATGGTTCCCATTCCCCAGTAAATTATCATTCTTAGTACATTTAACTAAGTTGCGATTACCTATCACACGGTTCGATCGGACTATCGTCATGGATTTGTAATTTTAGCTACATACGCACATATGTACATATATATGTATGTACATAGCTATTGCCTTCGTGTGGCTTTCGTCACTAGCGTGTAGTGCCTTTCACAGTAAAAAATTTAATTTTGTGTAAGAGTGCAGGCCGTGGTTGACTAATAACAATATACATATGAACATATCTATGTATATATGCAGGCAATAAGTATGTGAGCATTTGTATTTGTGGAAGATTAACAGCCTACATATGTACATATACATCTACATTTCACTCACGCACCGTGGATAATAGGAGAGGTTAGTTGATATATCACAATTTAAGTATATTGCCCACTTTCTTATTTCAATATTGATGCAAGTTACCAACTTCTTGGTTAAATATTAATTTTCTAACACAATAGGAAAGTACAATAACAATAACTTACTTTGCAACACTCCAACGAAAAAAAACGATAAAACATAAGTATATATGTACATATGTAATTGTACTATCGAGTACACTTCCCTCCAAATGCGATTGCCGATAGAAACAGAATGGAAACAATGGAACAACAAAATTAAAATTAGTTATATACTCTCTGCACACTGAGTCCATCCTGGGGGAACGGTGGGAATTTTTGAAATATGTGAAACACCGATTCACATTGACACCATCCACCATCCATGAGAAACAGCTGTTGCTCACAATTGCGTGAGGTGAAAATTTGTTTACTTTAATTAAAATGAATATAAATAACATTTCAATGGTCGTGAATGTGATTCAGCAGCAAAACATATTCTTGCACAAGCTAATCATGTTGTTGGACATGGACGATGATGATGAAGATAACTTTGACGAGGAGGAGATAATAGAATGGATATCTGTTTTGAAAACACTGAAGCCCGGAAGGTTGTGGTCATTTGTGAGTGCTTCTAATAAATGCAACCAATGTTTAAAGTACAAATATATATGTTATGTTTTTCAGAAGCGGTTCGGTACATTTTGGGAGAAGGATGTACCCGAAAACAACGAGGCGTTTTTTAAGGAAAGTTTTAGGATGGAGAGATCCTGCTTTTCTCTGTTGGTTACTCGCTTGGAAGTGCTACGGAAGAAGGACACAAACTGGCGAGCTGCAATTCCTCTGGAGAAGCGTATCGCCATATCTTTTTATACTTTGGGATCTTCTTCTGAAAAGAGTGTTTTTCGGAGTGTCAGCCAACAGCGTCTGCAATATCCTGCATGAGTTTTGCAGAGCATTCATTAACGAATTCTCAGAGAAATACATGTCCAAAAACTATCTCACTTCAGAGAAAATTGACGAGTGTGTCCAAACATTTGAAGAAATTGGGTTTCCTCAGTGCCTGGTGCAATTGGTAATAATGCAATAAAATCATCCATAATATATGTATATACATATATGTAAATTAATTTCATTACTTAATTTTTATGTTATAGGCTGTTTACATTGGGACTGCGTCATGCTTCTTTGCGTCTTGGCGAAGACGCAGTTTTTTTTACATAGGTTAAGCATAGGGCCCTAGTGGTGGCAAAAAGTTGCGTCGGTCTCTGATTCATGTGCGTCTATTCGATATATTCGATTGCTTTTGCGCTTAACTGCACATTTTTGCACTTTTCTGCCTATCAGCGCAACTATCACCTCTAAGAACAACAAAAACTTGTAGTTAAAAAATCAAATTTTGGCGCTAAAATGAATGGTTGTGCAAAAAGGTGAAAATATACATAAAATCATGAAATAAAATACTTGAAACTGATTGTATTATTATCATACGACATTTTTGTGATCCCCTGATGCCATTATGACACTGCTGGAGACGAACTTCGATGGTTTTCATAATTTTAAGAAGAACTCCCACAAGCTCTACAAAGAAATGTCTGAAAATAATAAATAAATATAAGAATCAATTCTCTTTCGTCCATTTTCTTGTCGTCTTGCATAATTCTGTTGATTTCTCAAAATTTGTTTACTTTCCTTGTCATCAAGCACCCAAAACAAAATTCAAGACGCGCGTCTTCCAATGTAAACGCCTTTTCTGCTTCATTGCGTCTATTCCGATATCGATAGCAGACGCCCAGTGTAAAAAGGCTATAAGATGGATGTCACATCGAAATAAAACCACCTGCAGCTGATATTTGATATTTTTTATTTTTTGCGTGCTTTGTGAGATCTGATGGGGTTATTTTCTTTTATTTTTATATTTTCCGGTCTGTCATTGTTTACATTTTCGTAGTGATCTCCGATTTTTTGTTGTGAAATATGGTTGCATTTGACAATTATCGAAAAAATACCGCACTGAAACGTGAGAATTAGGAACATCCCAGATGGATGGTGGAATAACTGGGAAATTTTCGGAACGGCAAAACCTTACGGACCATCCCAGAAATGGATGGTGGATGGTCCCCAGTGTGAAAAGGCTATAAACTTGCAAGCAAAAGCAAAATCTGATAATATTCGTCCTCCGTCTATGATCAAAAATCATATATATTTAAATAATGCGGCCTAATATTATTACTAGCAAGCTCTCAGCTCTGAACATATAGTTTTATCCAATTGATGAATACATTTTCCACAGATTTGGTAAATTTTTTTTTTTCCAACTTTCGGCCTGCTCGGAATATAATAATATAAATTTGTAAGGGATTGGATTGGAGAACACATCCAAGGTGGTTCAGACACTTTAAAGAAAACACATGGTTTTTACGTTCTTGGTTTGTAATTCCGTAGCTTAACGTACAGAGTTCTGCTAAAAGGTAAAAATCCTCATTACTCCCTGTCCCCTATCCAGCATTCGCTCTTATTTTGTTTAGTGGGTCTTGGCGGCCAGACGCTTGTCGCGCTCCTCCGAAATGCTCAGCTTGACACCCTTGCCCTTTGGCAGAGAGATGTAGGGCTTGCTGCCCTTGCCAATGATGAACACGTTGGTCAAACGGGTGGCAAACACATGACCCTGCGAGTCCTTGATGTGCACAATATCGAAGGATCCGGGATGACGCTCACGGTTGACAACGGTGCCAACACGTCCCAAATTCCTGCCTCCGGTGATCATGCACAGATTGCCTGTAAATGGAATGAAAAATACCTCCGATTAGTTTTCAACTAAATACGCAATGCATAATGGAAATGTAATTGCACGTAAGAGTTACTGAAACGGCTGTGGAATGCTCAGATCAGTGACCGTCGTAACAAAAATTGCTTTTGGCTTTGTATTTGAACCACGCAGCTTGGAAATTTGAGCGCTTTGTGGTCTTCGAACCAGCCAAGGGAGGATTGTTGCTCACGCAGACTCTTACCCGAATCGAACTTGATGTAGTCGGTGATCTTGCCAGAGGCAATGTCAACCTGCACGGTGTCGTAGGCATGGATCAGAGGATCGGGGTAGCGGATGGTGCGACCGTCGTGCGTGACCAGGAATGGAACACCCTTGGCTCCCAGCTGATTCTTCTTGACCTTGCACAGCTTGTACTGCAAAAGAAGAACATGACAATCGTACATTTAGTTACTTTCACTCGTAGATGGATTTCAAATTGAATGTAATTGCACGTAAAGTTACTGAAATGGCTGTGAAATGCACAGGTCAGTGACCGTCGTAACAAAAATTGCTTTGGGCTTCATTTTGAACCAATGAACGTATGGCAAAACGACATAAATCGGTCTTCGATAAAGCCAAATATCTTTCCTCCTGTTGACAACTCACCTTGGCCTCCTCGGCGGAGATGCGGTGAATGGTGAAACGTCCCTTCACGTCGTACACCAGACGGAAGAACTCACCGGTCTTCTCGAGGGTGATGACATCTATGGAAGTGGAGAAGAAACTTTTAGCATACAAATCCAGTTTGAAATCTCCGGTCAGAACTTACCCATGAAGCCAGCTGGGTAGGTGGGATCGGTGCGAACCTTTCCGTCAACCTTGACCAGACGCTGCATGACAATCTTGGTCACCTCAGCACCGTTCAGGGCGTACTTGAGACGATTTCTCAAGAAGATCAGCAGAGGCAGCGACTCGCGCAGCTTGTGTGGGCCGGTCGAGGGACGTGGGGCGAAGGCTCCCCCAAGTTTGTCCAACATCCATGCCTTGGGTGCGGCTAAACGCTTCAAATGCTTCTTAGGGCCACGCGCCTGTAAAACAATTCCTACAAGTTAATACAGTGGAACTCAATTCGGCGGTGGGCAGCCCAAACAAGATTTCACTCAATCCATTTGTTTAGCCTGCACATCAGCTGCCAGCGATGCTTACCATCTTTTACGATTCAATATATTGTGCGGGCGTTCACTGAAAATAGATGAATGAAACTTTTAGCTATCTTTGTGTGTACACTTTAATTGTATTGTCGGCTTGCAAGTTGAGCCGCTAAAAGCCGCTCCAACACACACGATTCACTCGGCTTATATTTCTGCATACTGTCACTCTTAATTGGGGTGGCCCGTTGGCTGCCCAGTTTATTTGTCATTGTACAATAATATACAGTGATGGCCGAATTATAAGCAAATTAATTTTTACACGTACCGTCCGTCTTGCAATACAACAGGAAAAGGAAGTCAGGGATGTGAAATATGTTGATATATCAATCTATCGATATATATTTTTTGTTGACAATATATTTGAAGGTGATATTTTTTTTGAACAGCTGCAATCTGAATATGGGTACATTTGCTTGCATCATATATCATCAGCGTGAGTATTTTTCAGAACTCTAAGCAAATTGACACTATTTTTTGTTGCTTTACGTCATATGATTATATATATAAAATAAATAAGCGAAATCGGATTCTTCATATCGAAGCACAGGGTAACCTAAAAAGTATCGGTACTTTTGTGCGATAAGAAAAACTTATCGGCGTTTAATTTATACCAAAAATACAAGTTTTCGGTAACCTGATTAAATAGAGCGGGGCTAAGCTATTTTCCTTTCTCGGTTTCTGAGGTTCCAGTCACACTCGACAAAAGAAATCAAGTAAAATATTTATTTTTGCATATATTAATATGCTTTTGAAAATGACCGCCAAACTCATTTAGCGCACAAAAAATACCGCGGAAAAATTTTCGGCTGAGGTTTTTCTTCTTCTTCTTCATTTTTGACGAGTTTTTTTCTTCTTCATTTTTCACGAGTTTTTGTGGCCTGTTAGATATGATTTCGCCTTATGTTATGATTTCGCCTTATGTTATGTTAAGTTTTCGCCCTTATGTTATGGCGTGCCAAGACTTGTAATAATTTTACATTTGTGTTTATTTCTCAATAGTTAATGCTCTCTCAAACACACTTTTCTTGATTCAGGCATTAATAATTACATTTGTAAAACCTACTTATAAATTAAACTGAGGCAACATTACAAATTGCCGAATGGATCTTTTCTTTTCTTTCGTTTATAAAACCACTTGGGGGCTATATATCGTTTATAGGTTATTATTTTAATGTTTTTTTTTATGTTTTGTTTGTACATAATACAAATTGTATTCATTTGCTTAATGTTCGCGTGGTTTTATAGTAGCTATTCTGTTTTTTTTTTTTTAGGCAAAGAACTTAAAGGTATGAAATACATTTTAAGAAATACAATGTATACAATCAATGAATGTTTAGTTGGTGTAAATGTAAATGTAGTTTTTTATAATTTTAATGGCTACGTACGTCTGTCTGTTCTATGTGGGCTAAGGAGTTTTCCAACTGTGTGAGTGCGTGCGTGTGTGATTGAGTGCATCCAGGGTGTCTGTATGTCTGGTTATGGGCAATCATTTTCGTATAGTCTGTGTGTGTGGTTCAGTCCAACTTCTTCATGGATTTCAATGCGCGCTCCCGCAATTGTTTCTCCAGATCTTCGTTAATGCCCCCCGGGCCGGTGCCGCCAGCGAGCAGCAGCGGCAGTTTCCCATTGCGCTTTGGCGCCAATCCCGACTGCTCCTCCTCGTCGCTGCTGCCTTGGGAGCTTGTGTCCGGGCGAGTCTTTCCTCCGCTGCTCTTCCTCTTATGCTTCTTGTGTTTTTTGCTTTTCTTGCTGTGTTTTTTGTGTTTCTTATGCTTCTTCTTCTTGGACGAGTCCTCAGAGTCGCTGTCGGATGTGTCCGCCGCCTTCTTGGACTTCTTGCGCTTCTTTTTGGGCGCATTCTCCTCCTCAGAATCGCTCACATCGCCGCCCTCATCTCGTCGGGGTTTCTTATGGCTACGCTTGCGACTGCTGCCTGGTCTTGCCGCCTCCACTTCAACGCCCGTAGATTCCTCTGCACTGGAGGTGGGCCGCTTGAGTTTCTTGTCCGAGCGACGTTTGTCCAGCTTGACGGCCGCCACTTTCTGTTGTTGCTGCTGCTGATGCTTCTTCTTTTTCAACTTATCGTCGATGCTCGAGTTGTCATCGTCGCTCTGGTCGCTGCTGCTGGAGGTGTCCGAGCTGCGTTGCGATTTCGACTTTGACTGTGACTTGGCCACCTCCACGGGAGCTGGCAGCTTCTTTTGCTGGATCTTGCGGCGCGCCGGCGGATCGTCACTGTCATCACTGTCGGCGCTGCTGTCGGAGCTGCTGCTTTGACTCCTGCGGGATTTCTTTGGAACAGCCTTGGATACGGAGACGGTGGCGGCAGCGGCTGATAAAGCGGCGGCCGAACGCTCGTGCGGTTTAAGGAACGGTGATGGAGTGCGGGACAGACTGGCATAAGTGCTGCGTACTGTTGCTGCTACTGCTGCTGGCTGCTCGACGACCTTGAGCGTCTCTGGATTGGATTTACGCTGCTGGTGCTGCTGCTCCTCGCGACAGAGATCGATAGTGTTGACGGCCGGGCCGCTGAACTCCACCGAAGAACGCTCTGTGGAGAACCCAATGTCCATGTATTATTCCCTTGCCAAATGGAGCAAACCTATCCAGGGACTTACCAGCAATAGGACTGTCTCGCTTGCGGCTTGGTCGCGGACTGGAGCGGCTGCGGCTCCTCACATGACTGCGACTCCTCTCATGGCTGCGACTACGACTGCGTCCACGTTTCTCAGCGGGACTGGCACTGCGCTGTCGCTGCTGCCGTCCAGCCGGCTCTGCAGAGCTCTCCGACGTGGATCGTCGATGCCTGGCCGGTGGCGGATTGTCCCAGCGATTGACATGGCCCCCCGGTGAGCTGCGACGTTCCCGAGAATTCGGGCGACGATCGCGCGAGTTGCGGCGCTGCGGCGAGGAAAAGCGACGACCCGGCCCAGAATGGGGTGAAAATTTCCGGAACGGCTGTCCCTGTGCGTCCGATGGCCGATGATCCCGGTTGTAGCGATTCTGGTGCGGTGACTGGCGACGATCGAAGCGCCCCATGCCGCCGCCGCCACCTCGTCCACCACCACCGCCGCCGGGGCTGTATCTCGCCTGCCAGTGGATGCGACCGCCTCCACGCATGTTTGGTGATCCGCCGCGATGCTGCCACATCTGGCGATGACCACCGCCACCACCACCACCACCGCCGCCGCCGCCGCGTCCACCGCCACGACCACCTCCACCCCGATAGTGCATCATGGGCGACCGACGGCGATTGTTAAATCTGTTTGGATTGAACGAGAAAGAAATGGCCACCATTATTAATTAATTTTCTGATGCAACTCTCAACTGAGCGAGTGGATGCTACGACTGAATTTCAGTTGCTTTTTTGACACTTACCGCCTGGGAGACCGAGAGTATCGCATGGGAGAACGGGAGAGTCGACGGGAACGTGAGCGACGTCTCGAATTGGAGCGCTGGAAACGTCCACCGCCGCCGCCTCCACCATTATCCTGACGCATGGGACTGCGGTTACCACCGCGTGGTGAAAAGCGCCTGCCTCGGCGGCCGCCTCCTCCTCCGCCGCCGCCACCAAACTGGCGTCCACGGTCATTGCCCCGCTCCATGGAGCTGGCCGAGTCGCCGCGATTATTGCGATACTGACGTTTGTTCTGGACACTGTTCTTGTTGCGACGATGCTCGAACTGATCCTGATTGCGTTCGGGGGACAGGGAAATGCTGCTGGAGCGGCCACGTCGTCGACTGCGGGGCGAGGAGCTGCGGGAACGGGAACGCTTGCCGTTGGATCTAGAGCGGCTGCGTGGGGAACGCGATCTGGAGCGTGAGCGCGACTTTTTGCCCTTGGGCTGTACGGGCGACTTGTCCCCCGCCGAGTGACGTCCGTTGACAGCCTTGGTTGGTGGTGGGTCCGAGGAGGCTGCCTTTTTGGCAGACGCTCGCGAGCCAGAGCGCGTCTTCTGGCGAGAGCGGGAACGCGGTCGACGGCTGGGTCGCCGCTCCCTGGAGGCAGGACGGGCGGCCGAGGGTGAGCCGCCGCGCTTGCGAATCCGAGCCGCTGCATTGGCTGCTGCCTCACGGGCGGCACTTGGTACCGAGCCATTGTTGGCTGGCTTCGCAGAGCGCGAACGGGAGCGGGACTTGGATTTGCCACCATTTGGAGATCGATCCCGCTGACGGTCACGCCGGGAGTTGCCGCGCGAAGAGCGAGAACGTGAGCGGGATCGGTCACGCTGGCGTTGCTGTAGCTCCTCCTCGCGCTTGAGTATCTCATCCTTTTTTTGCTGTATGAACTCAGCCGGGATGCCAGAGTCACTGTCCTGGGCCGAGAGCAGCAGAGCCCACAGTTCGCCCATAAACTGGCGGGCATTTTTCCCATTGAGGAATCCCGTCATATTTATTTGCATTTTCTTGGGACATGGATACTTCTCCTCCTCCAGCTGGTTGTATACAAACTCCACCACAACATCGTCCTCGATGTTGAGAATGTCGGTGATTTTCTTGCTGATCCACGGCCGCAGCACGTCCAGCTTCACCTTGGACATGTCCACGCGCTTGCTCAGGCAGTCGCCGAACTTCATTTGTTTCATAAGTTTCTTTTCCTTGTCGCTGAACCGAGTGTCCTGCTGCTGGTTGGTGCCCTAAACGAGGTAAAGGGCGTTCCAAAAGAAAAGGCTCTTATCGATTGCATTGCGTTCAGAGCATCACACACACACCATCACACTTACCGTGAACATCATTCCTAGACCGTGTTTTTTCTCTGTGTTTACGGGGTTTTATTTAAGCTGCCGCCAATTTGTGGCCCTTCTACTGCATGCACATTTGTTTTGGCAGGCCCACGAGAAAAATTCAATAAAAATATGTAACCCGGCACCACGCAAGACAATTGTCTATACACACGCACACATGCAGCGTCGTTTTCGGTGTGTGTGTGCGTTTAAGGATGGCCGGGGGTTGGGATGCGTTGCGCTTTAATTGCTTTTGATGGAAAACTAATGCGGCGAAAAACCTGTGCTCTTCGTTATTGGCTAATTGCACCTCTCGCGATTACTTACAATTACGTTTTGCTTGTTTTCGGCTTGTAATTTTTCTTCGCGAAATAAAATATATGCGTGAAAACGGTCTGCGCCAGTGGTGGCAGAGGCAGAACAAACTGCGAATGTTAGAGATATATCAAATAATCGAAAATTGCGATATCGATATTTGTGTGCGATAAGTTGATATCGGCGGTTAAGTATCTGTTTTGGAACAGCAACAAAACTACACTTTGAAAAAATGGTCCACCTTACAGAAAATGGGTTTCGTTATCGGAAACAGTTATTACTTCAGTACAAATGCTGCCTTGACAATGTTTCTCGGGCTGTAAGCCGAACATTCAGTTGATATTATCCCCACAAAAATATCCATATTTATATTGACATTTCGAAACGAATGCTTTTTATTTAGGGGCTCTAATAAATACAAACTATAAACGCACGAGTGCATTAATTTAATTTTGTTTAAATGTAAACTTAAGATTAGCATTTGATTATTTTTCGAGCAAAATTTGCATTTCAATTTTATACAGCTGAGAGTGTTGAGAAGATATAGGAGGATATGGGGGATTGGAAAAACATTAAATAACATTTGCAAAATTGATTTCGCTACAAAAAATAATTCCTCGTTTAAGTACATATTAATTTAGCCAGCCAGCCGCTGCTCAGCTTCGACCCAAAACTCGCTCAGTTCTTTTGGTTGCTGTTTGTGTTCCTAGTGGGTGGGTAGTACTGCCAGTACTCGCCAAGACCTACGGTATCATGTTTGGCTCCTGGGCGGCGCCCGTCGAGTACTTCGGCTTGCAGACGCATCCGCTCTCCACGAGCACATAGTCCTGGCCGGTTAGCGTCACTGGGCCCAGGGGAATGACCAGGAACAGGTAGGGCACATAGGTTTGCGTACACTCGCCGCGAACCACATCACATTCAGAGGATCTGTGTTTGGACGAGAGCAAGAGCTAGATATCAGTGGTACTGATGGCTGGGAACAGCTACTCACTCGCACACTTCGAAGACGACTTGTTGCAGGAGATCGGGGAACTTCTGAACTATGGTGACCGGCTGGCCAGAAGTCAAACTGACGCCATACATGGGTGCCGTGGTGTTGTAGCGCGTCTTGCACAGTCGCGCCGGTGTATCGCTCTTGCACTGATGCGCCGGCGAGGCATTCTTCAGGGAACGACCTGCGTAAAGACAATCAGACAATCAGATAATCAGTCGCTCAATCAATCACATCAGTTGTGCGGTCTATCAATTGCGGCCACACCACACCACAACGTCCATTAGCCTGACCGACTTACCATAACGATTGCTTCCGATAGCCTCATTGTTTACCTCATCGTAGGCCCTCAAAAGTGCACTCGTGGTCACTGCGGGATCCAGAGTGGCGGGCAATTTGCTCTGGCGTCCACGACGCGAATTTCCGTTCCAGTTGGAGAATGTGCGCGCAACGGCCGCACTGCAAATGCAAATGGGGAATGGTAGTGGTAGTGGGATGGGGATGGGGAGCAGTCAAAGCAGAAGAGGCGTTAGAAAAGAAAGTTTTTCCCAATGCTACGATCGGGCCAATTTGACCACCGTTAAGTGACTCACTCACTCAGTCACTCACTTAGCCTGTGACTAACCTGGGGTATGGCGCATTGTTGGGTCCCAAACAGTCTAGCGAATCCGTGAGCGCATCGCCGGATAGATATTTCAGTCCACGCCCTCCGGCGCATCTGCTTGCAGGCGCATCGTCGCTGCTGCTGTAGCTGGGCCATAACGCCGCATTGGCGCATGTGAGTGCAATACTGATGACGCAGAGTGCCGTTAGGTGCTGCAAATACACAAGAGATATCGATAGGTTAGACTTGAACATTAGACCAGACCCCTGTGCATAACGGCATGCCAATGCTGAGTCGCTGCGTCATGCAAAAGCACAGTCCCAACCGGGTTCTGGGGTCTGTTGTAAAACTTTGCTTGAGGTGTTGTAACATGTTTTATGTTTTTGCCGCTGAACTCACGACCCTGACCATGGCTAGCTTCTGACTCTGCGGGGGAACTTTTTCAGAGTTCTAAGAACGTGCGCCAACTGCAGACCGAAAGCCAGTTATAAGAGTTTCTTGACTGTTATGTATATGGCGGGGGCCCTGCGCTGATGAAAAGTTTCTATTTTCACATACTTGACCCGCTTAGACTCGAAATCCATAAACAAATTAATTAAGCTCATAAATAACCATCCGCAACCACAGCCCAGCCACAGCCATCGCCCCCGTCCGTACGTGAAAGTAAAAACAAAAGAAGAAATTCAAATCGGACAGCTGCCACGAGAGAGCAGAAGACAAGGCAAGCCAAGAAAAAACAAGACAAGACAAGAAGAAATGTTAATACATTTTTCAACCGCATGTAAAGCTGACTTCTAATATGGTCTGAACTTTTTATTGCCTCTTCTTGCAGTATAGTATAGCATTTTTTTTTTATGTGCCCCGCTTGCTTGTGTTTTCTTTCACTTTCTCTGTGCAGATTTTTTTGCTGATCAAGTGGCAGGCAGGCAGGCGGCAGCAGCCCAGTCAGAGCCGAAAACCAGTTTCGATTGAATTAAAATTGCAGCACAAAAATTTGCCATGCAATTTTTCTCTCTGAGAAAATCGCTGCACGTACGACATCATGATGCGAAGAAATAAAATAAAATAAAATAAAATAATCGGACAGGACAGGTCGTAACGTGCCATCTCGGGCCTTTGTCCGATTGCTCGATGAAGAAAATACCGTAAATATTCATTCGTTCGTTGCTTTTTTAATTGATATAAATATTTTCCATTCAGTTATGAGTACGTATTGTATTGTTTTGTTTTCTTTGGGCTGGTGGGATGGTGGGATGGTTTGTTCGCACATTTTGTAAGTTGTGACCAACAAAACACAAACTTTCTTTTCAGTTCAACAAAAATTTGATAAAAAAAAAACGAAATGTTTGTGGGGCCATCATAATGGTCATTGCGTGTGTTGGTTCGCTGGTGGGAAAAATAAATGAAAGCGAAATTCTATTATTTAATTCTTTTCACATTCATTACAAGAAATTAATGAACTTGCTTCGTGCCGCCAGAGAGGTAGAGAGCGGGCGGCGGAGATCGTGTGACAGAGAGAAAGAGAGACGAGACGAGACAGAGAGTGGAGGGTCCACTCTCACCGCCTGTAGGTAGCCCTGCACTGAACCCGAGTGTCGTGTCTGTCTCTCTGTCTGCATTTGGCCTTTTGTCCAAATTCTGTGCCGTAGTTTGTCGTTGGCTCATTAAACGCGCTTTTCTTGCCCATTGTCATTTGGTCGGTCCGTCTGACTTGTCTGGTCTCTCCTCTCTTAATTCGACATTAAAGCAAATGTAGCCCCCCACCCGGTACCAAGCCCAAGCCATTGCCATTTGAACCTGTCACAAAATGAATGTACAGAGTATTTTTACTTGGTAATTGCCATCTTGATTGGGTCGCTCTTGACGAGCCCTCTCCCTCGCCCTCTCCTCCTAATGAGGCAACTTTCTTAAGTAGCCGTTGTCTTCGGGGGTTTCGTTTGGTTCGTTGAAGTGATTGCGCGGCGTGACTGTACCAAACACACAAAAATATAATCACAAATAAATGCAAATAATATATGAGCTTTGAAAAATCAGCAAATCATTCATTAATCAAAAACCCATTGACCATTGACGATGCTTCGGAGACAATTTGAGAGGCTTCGTCATTAGGCTGCTTACATAACACTCATTCACACCGTACTCCGTACAGGCAGGGAGCCAGCGGCAAGAGACCTGCACTAAATGTAGCTGGCTGCTGCTATTGTCGAAGGCTAGAAAGAATCAGACTCCAGCTACGACATGGCAAAAAAAAAATTGAGACAAAGCGACGAGCAAAACTGTCAAGAGCAGCGCCGCCGCGCCGCCGCTCCGCTGTTCGTGTATCACAGGTGCCGTTATAACGAGGTTAACGACCCACATCTCCATCTCTCTCTCTGGCTTGTCTCAATTCTCTCTCTTTGGCGGTTCTGGCTCTCCCTCTAACACACACACACACACACACACACAACCAAGCCGGAGCCCAAACCAAGTCGTCGTCATGGATGGCCCCTGGAGCATGTTTCGAGGCGCATAAACAAACATTGGACTTTAGTAATAAATGAAAATTAATGTCTAAAATACACAAGTGAAAATTGGTTTGGTTTAGTTTTGGTTATTTTTGGGAAAGCACCCGGCAAGTCAATGTCGACACAGATTTATTGACAGCTTACAAATAGCCAGAAGACAGACGGACAGACAGACGACAAACTGTGACTTTGACTGTGACTGTGTGACTGTGAGACCGTTGCACGCAATGAGTCTTGGAACTGGTTTTTATTGATAAGCGTAGCCTACAGCCTCGGGTCTCTGGTCTTTCGATCTGCCACTGGCCACCTCCTCTCGCGTGCTCCTCCCCCCACCCCGTTCTGGTGGTTGTTGTCTGGTGAGTTCCACATTCTCTCAATGGATGTCAGTGATAATGTATTGTGATTGAAACGAATTGAGAGAGAATTGTTGGCTTTGCTTGACTGACACAATTTCCCAAAGGCCTTTGTTTGTGATTGTGGACCAGTTGGTCAGGAAAAGTTGATGAAAAGCTTGGCCAATCCAATCCAATCCAATCAGTTGTTGCTGCAGTCAGACTCAAAACAGGACCACACCACACCACACCACAGCGTGTGCCAGGCATCGGCATCCCATAGCAACCCTGTGGAACATGTTATCGATCGATTGTGATCTCTGCTAATGTCGGTTCTCAGCACCGTTGCGCATTAGACCCGTTCGTTATTGCTTTTTTCCGTTCCGCGACAGAACAACAAAGCGCAGGCCGTGATAACCCCGAAGCGACAAAACTTTCAATGGGTTTTTTTTCTGGTCTCTTGTCCCATCCGCAACATAGCCATAGCCGCTATGCAGATCACGTTTTCCCAGACCCCAGACCACACAAAAACAACAACAACAAAAGCATTGGGGCCTGGGGGCCACCGCTAGAAAGAGACAAGAGGCAAGTGCATGGACTCCTTCGACTCTGCTGCCTCTGGCTTCGTCTCAATCCCTCCCCCAAAAGCGATGACAGCGGCGCTTTCATTTTTGGGCTGCCTGCCACTTCGCATGCGCGGCGGCGGCCATTGTCCAGAGAGCGTGGGATGTGTGGGAGGAATGGCGCGTGGAAACGGGGCTAACAAAATTTCGCTGCCCAAAACTAGAACCGAACTGAAGCATCTCCCCCCCTAACACTTTTACTCATTACGCCCTCCCCTCCCCTGAATTTATTTTTATTTTGTTTTGTTTTTTTGTGTTTTTTTTTGTTGGGTTGAAGTTTCACTGGATAATTTGCATCATTATATCTGGAGGCGACTGGAGGGAAGTACTGTTAGTGTTTGGCGCTACATTAAGCAGGCAATTAACACAAATTTATGACAATTTTTGGTCCCTCAGTGGTGTCAGCCAACTGCCAATCAAAATGGGGGGAAATACTTGACCCAGAACAGAACTCTTTTGTTTTTACAGTTTATAATGCCGTTTTGAAAATAGTTATATATTTACGCATACCCGTAGCCGTGCCCCCCACTGCTGACTGCTGCCTGTTGGTGGCTCTTTAAGGTTGGGTTGTTCCATGCCATGCCATGCCATGCCATGCCATTCCAGGCAGCAACCAAGAGGTGACACGCATGAATGAGAATCTTTCTACCTGTGTGCGAGTGAGCGAGCCGAGGGACCGGCTCTCAGCCAGCAAACAACCCATAAAAAATCAAAGTATGAATATATTTAGCCTACTTTTTATAAAGTTTTTTCTTTCTTTCTTTATTTTACTTTTGGCCCCGCGGGCCAGCTCTCAACGGTTAGGGTTTGCTCTGGGAATTCGTTTTGAATCATCGTCGTCTGGTAGGGGGGCTACCGGACAAGATGATTAAATTTCCGACAGACTCGTGCGTGAGCCAAGCAAAATGAAATTCTCTCTCAGAGGCAAACAGACACTCATTAATCGGGGGCACACACCACGTCAAATCGGCTCAAAGAAATCAACATAATTCGATCCGATCCCCCCCCAATGGAATGAGATTAAGCGAAGCGGAGGCGGAGCCATGTTTTTGCTTTCTACGTTTGCTTCCTTGATTAGCATTTTTGTGGGTCAAGTTCACAGCGAAACAAGTTGAGAGATTTGGAAATTCTTTTGGGATATTTCTATGGAGCAGCATTTTAATGCTCACAGCAAAATGCGGTTCCATTTCTATGGCTCGCCCACGATCCTCACAATCTCCTCCCAACATTCCTTAGGCTTTCGAGCCGCAGCCGGAGCCGGAGCCAGAGCCCACAAAGTAATGCCATATATCAGCAGGGCTCATGACCAGCCCACACGGTTTTCTGGCCAATTTCAGTGCCAGGCTGAAACGTGAGTCGACTGCCAAACACATGGGGGGGGGGACACACTCAGACATACCATGCTCATATGCGGCCGGCAAGAAGCCTAGTAAAAGTTATTTGGCCAAAGCAAATTCATTAAAAATTCGTTAAGGCCAAAAGCAGCAGAAGACTGCAAAAAGAAAGTCAAAGAAAGGTGCTAATTCCATCGAGTGATTGGGCCGCTCGCCACTCTTGGCCAAGGAAATAGGTCGAAATGGGCGAATCGAACCTGAAGCGGAGCCAGTGGAGAATGAATTCCTGAGGAGAACCCGGCCCAACCCAGCTCAAGCCGAACCCATCCCATGCCATTCCAGGCACTTAGTGGACCACCGAAGGTGTTGCCTGGCTGTGGGTTGGGCCCGCCGCCGCCGTCGCCGACTGCTGACTGCTGCACTCTTGCTCGAGAGTACACATATAGAAACACATATGGGATGGATGTGCACACACAGCTATATAAGTTTTTTAATGCCATACTGGTTTCGAAAAAGGAACAAACCCACCGACCAGCAGCGATGGCAGCGGCAACGGCAACGGCGACGACTCCAGAGAACAATGCCAAGTTCAAGCAAAAGCAAAATACGACAGCAACAACAACAACAACAATAAAGTGTAAGAGAGAAGTGTAAGAGATCTTGCAGCTGCTTCTCCTGTTGGTGGGCGCTTCTTCAGCTTCTTTAGCCTCTCGAGGTATTTCTTTTATTTTATTTTATTTTATTTTTTTAGTGCTTATTGGGGTCACTTACTTTGACAGAACTTCTACTAAAGCACCGGTATTCCATTTTGTAGCTGTGTGTTGTTGTTGGGTGTATGTGTTGGTTGTTGTTGGTTTATTGGCTGTACTTTTGGGGGCACTTGTGACTCGGTCTCTTTGCGACTTTATTGGATTGGCTTTGCACACAAACACTTCACGTACGATGGGAAACTACACAGAATCGTATCGTTCTGCCAGAAAGAAACGAAACAACACAAAACTCAGACTCTGAGTGGTGTAAGCCTTGCTACTGCCGCCTTGGGGGTATCTTTTTGGTAACACGCGTCTCTGACAACCGGCCAACTCGAGCGCTCAACTTGAACTGACGGACCAGGTAACGTTTACCATTCCTTAAGGTGTCGTCTTGGCGACGGCAACGGCAACAGCAGTGGCAGCAGCAGCAGTAGCAGCGACTGCGCCGGCGCAGCTGGCTTGGCCTCTGCCGCTTGCTGTGGCATCGCATCGCATTGGCTCGTCGTAACCTGTTGCTGTCGTACCACCACCACCGCCACCAGATACTGCTGCTGCTGCTGTTGCCTCTATTCGTGGTATCGGAGATGGTGGCAGCGGAGGCAGTGGGGGTGGCACTGGAGCTGGGCCGCGTAGAACGCAGTCGCAGCAGCACATGCAAACGCTGAATACGCAACAGCAGCACAGGCACACAAACAATACAATTGCGACCACAACCGCAAGGATTATACTTAGAATAACACACATTATGCCAGATTTTGACGGCTTAAAGGGATCGAAAATAAGTCCACTGAATCGTATTGATGCATGCAGGTAGGATGGGTCGGCCCAAGCAGTGTCAATCAATTCGTAACTAACATCGCAGCACTTTGATTTGTAACTTGTTGATGTCACATGTACCATGTGCACTCAGGTTATTCAAAGCGATCAAAAAGCCTTGCCAGCAAGACTAATGATCCATTTGATTTTACTCGATGATTGATGATTTTTTCCAATAGTTTATTGAGCTCCCTTTCATGTCTGACAATTCAGTAGGACTCCTGACCGTCACAGGGGAAACAGCAACAGTAGCCAACGCAGAAGAAGAAGCTTATCAAAAAAAACAACACTATAAAGAAGCCACCAATGGTTTCCAAAGGTCCTATGTCCTCAAATATATCATCGTGCAGCATATGACTCTTTAAATCCATTGTTCTGGTTTTTATATTTGATGGAATTTTTTGTATTATTCATAGAAATTTCCTTGAATAGCTGCTGAGACTCTGTTTTAGAGTATTCCTAGCTGTTAGCTGAGTACTTGAGTTGAGTTCTTTTGAGTTTCGGTTATTTTTTTAGTACCAATTTAAATTTAAACAGTTATTTATCGATTATCGATCTAGAATTACTTATCGCTGTTGAATTCAAGTTGCACTATAACTGTCATTTTCAGACCTATTACTTATAACTTTATTGTGGATTATGAATGAAGGTTTCACTCTCATGAAAACCGAAAGCATCGCGAAATGGCTTAGCATGGATGGTCTACGTACTGTTAATTAGTTGCCGATTAATAATATTACGTAATTCTTCATATTCTATATCTTTCTCTGTCTAACTGTGCGTGTATTAAATGCCGCTTTTCATTATTTTCTTTTGGGAAAGTTATCAAGTCAAGCTATATTAGTTTCAATTTGTGATGGTTATTATCGAAAAAATGAAGAAAAAGCCAAAAAATAATGCACACACACACAACACACACAGCCAGCCCACAGAAACTTTCATAGTTGTGTTGTGACTTTTCTCTTCGGTCAAATGCGAGACATTTGAAGTCAATTGTCGTCGCGTCGAGGCGTGCAGAAAAAGTACTGCGACTGCGGTATAAATAAAATAAAATTAATAGCAACAATTGAAACAAGCGTTGCGACGGACAGACCGACCAGTCAGGGCAACAATAAAAGTTCGGACATTGTCCGAACTGAAACATGAGAGACGCCGTTACTCTGACTTTGCCAGGGGGAGGGATCTGGGGGGGCTATGGATCTGACACGCATGCGCAAAGTGTCATCGACAGTCGGCGGCAGTCTCTACGACATTTTTCAGCGAAAGTGACTGAACGAGTTTCAATTGTGCATCGCCGACGCCACCGCTCTAAATGCTTTTATTCGAGCCTCACAATTAACTGGCGTAATAGTTGCCAAAAGAAATGAAAACTTGGGCCTACCTTCTAAAAATTTATACATATGTCGGTGCGGGGGGTGAAAGTAAGAGTTTTGGAAAATAGTAGTAGGCATCTACATAGATTCTTGCGTTTGAATTTGCCTTCAGAAATCTCAGACACTCAGACACGTTAGTACTAAAATGTTTTTAAATTCACGTAGAGCTGAAGTTTTGTTGCAGTTCTAAATATTTGGTTTGGGGTTACATTTACATGTTCAAAGTGTCCGTCAACGCGCCAATGCATGTAGTTGGGCGCCTATCGATATACACAGTACACAGCAACCGTGTGAGTGCACAACCAATCATCTGTTAACCAACACCGGCTGCAACAGAGCGGGAGGCGGGAGTAGCCAGCAACAACAACAACATCGCCGTGCGTGTTCCTGTGTGTGTGTGTGCGTCTGAGATTGGAAGACAATGGCTGCAGCTGCGGACGGTGTTGTTCCTACCCTTGCAAGTAAATATAATCCAACAGTTTCGAATTAAAACTAGTCCCCAAACACTACCCTCGATGCCAGACAATTGGGGCGCCAGCTGGAGGCGCCTCCGCCGCATGGCAAACTGTGCAAGTCACTCTCGGTCGTGAGGAGGGGGGAGCGACCTCGTGTGTTTCTCTGCTAACTAATCTATCGTATCTTCGTTTACAGTTCGCTCTAGCGTGGCGGTTGAACTGTGGTCATCGGCGGGACCTAAGTTGCCATATGAACACAAGTCCAACCTGCCGCGAGAGGAGACGAAGAGTTCTCGTTCGATCTGCTTCAGTCCAGATGGCCGATATTTTGCATATTCCAACGGCCTGGACGTTAAGGTGCTCGAGGCGTGCAAGGATGGTGCCGGAGAATGGCCAGTGAAGTGCTCGTTGCCGCGCCCCAAGGCATTCTACCTCAAGTTCTCGCCACGTGGCAACTATCTGTCCACCTGGGAGCAGTATGCCATCACCAAGGACCGCCCAGAGGGGTCGCCCAATCTCCTGGTCTACGATGTCAACACGGGCACCGAAGTGTTTGCCATTGTCCAGAAGATCCAAACGGATTGGGAGCCGTCTTGGTCATCGGACGAGTCGATCTTTGCTCTCGTCGTTGGAGGCGAAGCTCTGTTCTATGACCTGCCCGAAGGAGCGGCTAAAGGATTCGCAACTACCTCAAGGAAAATTGGCGGCAGTCGGGGAGGAATGCTATCCCTTGGTCCCGGCCACTGTCCGCCGTATTTAGCCTTCTACAATCCCGGCGCCAAGGGAGCTCCGTCCATGTGCAAGCTGTACAAGTATCCCGCCCTGGCCCAGAACCAAACGGTGGCCTGCAAGAGCTTCTTCCAAGCGGATCGCGTGGAAATGTTGTGGAACAAGAGAGGCACTGGCCTGCTGCTGCTAACCAGCACCGAGGTGGACAAGAGCGGCGCTTCCTATTACGGCAATCAGGCTGTTCACTTTATGGCCACCAAGGGCGACACTTGCTCCGTGCCGCTGTCGAAGGAGGGACCAGTGCACTGTGTCAAATGGAGTCCCAAAGCCACCGAGTTTGTGGTTGTATATGGCTTCATGCCATCCAAGGCAGCTCTCTACAATCTCAAGTGCGACGTGATCTATGACTTTGGAGAGGGACCGCGTAACTGTGCCTATTTCAATCCGTTTGGAAACATCATTGTGCTTGCCGGATTTGGCAATCTGCCTGGAGCCGTCGAGGTGTGGGATGTGCCGAAGCGAGAGAAGCTGGCCAGTCTGAAGCTGGCGGACACCACGGTCTTTGAGTGGCATCCCAATGGTGAATGGTTTGTCACAGCCACCACCGCTCCAAGGCTCAGGATTAGCAACGGGTGAGTGGCCCCATAATATGCTTTGCCCTCAGTAGATTTTGATTCTAATTTTAATTGTAGTTTCAAAGTGTACCACTACTCGGGAGCCCTGCTGCACGAGACCATGTGGCCGCAGGGGCAGGAGTTGCTCGGCATTGAGTGGCAGCAGTATGCAGACCAGACCTTCAGTGAGCCGAAAATCACCAAGGCCAAGCATGAGGGCATCAAATCCAGTCAGCCAGAAGCCAGCAAGAAGGCCTACACACCGCCCCATCTGCGCCTGCTGAAGGAGGGCAAGAATCCGGAGAAGTACTTGCCGCAGCCAAGCATACCCGGACTGGCACCAGCATCAGCAGGTAATGGAATGCGCAAGATTTGGCACAGACAATATGACGTGGAAAATCCGATCGTGCGACGGAGCGAACAGGGTCAATGCCAAATGTCGAACGGTCGTGATGCATCGACAGTGAATGCCGGCGCTACCGTGCCAAATCGATCCAACAGACGCTATCGACCCTATCAGTATAAGCGATACTAGAATTAACGATTCATCCTCCTCCTTCACTCCCTTAAACATTTCGTATTACATGCAAATTAGGATTAGGGACTAATATGATGGCCGTAAGTAGGGACGGGCAATGTGTTTGCTAATTGCTGTTTGCATTTCTTTTGTTGCCTTCAGGTGGTGCCAACAACAGGAAGAACAACAAGAATAAGCCAAAGGGCCCCAGGAGGGATGTGAATGTTGTGAATGGTGGCGATCCAGCCTCGGCTGCTACTGCGGCTCCGGCGACAGAGACAGTGACGGGAGAGGAACAGCAGCTATCCCAGACCCCGCAACATCACACGCCTAGAACACGACCGCAGGCGCCCAGATATCAACAGCAAAATGCCGCCGACCAGCCACGCCATCATCAGCAGCAGCAGCCGCAACCACATCCCCAGGCCAATGGTCAAAATTCGAACGAGAAGGAACGCAAAATTCGGACCGTTGCCAAGAAGCTCTCGGATATAAAGAAGCTAAAGTCGCGCCAGGGCCAGGGCGAAAGCCTCGAGCTAAATCAATTGAATAAGATTAAAATGGAAGCAACTTACTTGGACGAACTCAAAGCGCTCAAGCTGTCCGACTAAAAGGAGACGTGGACGACGACGAGCGAGAGAAGAGAAGCAAGAGGAAAAGGACAATACAATTGATACCATTGATTTGTGTGATAACACCCACCAGATGACACCACAAGTTGCCTTCTCTCCTCCTCCTTTTTCAAATACTGTTTGTTCTTGTTCCCTTTCCTGCTGTTTTACGCTCATTTTGCGAAAGAGATGTGTCGCAACAAGTTTCTAGTTAAAAACATTTTTCTACTATTGTGATTTCTAAACATTTTTGGCAAACAAACAGTTACTCAAAAACAACATAAATTTATGTACCAAATTGTGCTATCAAGCGAATAAAGAAGTTTCCACAAAGATACATTATTACAGTTCCCAATTTGATTTCTTCTTGATGAACTCCTCATGTCCGTCCTCCTTCACGGCCACATAATAGCCCATACTTTGGTACTTGTAACGCATGTAGCCAATATATCCAAAGACTCCAGTTATGGCTGCCAGGCCCAGTCCCATGACTACTATGTTCTGCAATGATAATAAACATATTAGAACTCTGAAAGTTGGTGTCCCAATCCTCCTGTCCCTAAATCCCCACCGGCTTTGTGTACAGTTCGAAGTTGATCAAACGGAAGACGCCCGTGCTACGCATGGAGCGGATGCCATCGCCAGGCTTTTGTTCCTTGCCGTCACTCATTTCCTTGTGGGCCTTTATTAATTTAATTGAATTTTGAATGCAAATACGTAAATTTATAGCCAAATATTGCACAATTCGGTTTAAAAAACAAAAACGAAACGTGAGGAATGGGTTGAAAAACTATCGATAGAATACTCAATATATCGATACAACGAAATTGTTATAAATAATTCATTTATTTAACTAAATTAATTTAAAAAAAAATTGTTTATTTTATTGTATTTCAAAAAATAATGCATGATTCTGTAAAGTGTCACCGTGCTGGTGAAAATACCAATCGATAGTATTTAATTTAACACCATTTTGTTTTCGGTTTTTTATGCAACATAATTTTGTAATAATTAATTAATATATATATAGATGTATGTGTGTACTCGAGTTTACACAAATTCGAACTGATAGCCGCGATCTACAAAGCTAAGCCCCCGCTCCGATCGGACTGGAAAGTCTGGTTTAAAGACAATGTAATCCTGGTAGTCTGGCGAGGTTTTTAGATTCTGCAAGGAGAAAATCAAAAAGAATTGGGGTTAAATGTATCATAATAAAAGCAATGAATGTAATCACCTCTTTGTCGACGAATTCCTCAAACCCACTGAGTACATAGTAAATAAACAACGGCGGGGTCTTGCTATATCCCGACTTTTGTCTATGCGGGTCCTTTTGCTTGAGAATCTTCAAGGCTCGAGAGAGAAAACTGGGCGTTACCTCTCGACAGTAGGACACGTCCAGTTGCTGCAGACGTGGGCATAGCTCAACGAATTTGAGTAGTACATCATCGTTCAAGTGTGTACAATTTCGCAGGCAAAGCAGGTGTAGGTCCTTCATGCAGGTGTACCGCTCAAGATAGTCGGTAGAGTGATCCCAACTGCAAATGGCCAGGCGCTGCAGATTCTTGTGCGGCCAAATTGGCAAATTCTTGTCCCAACCCGGCTCCAGTGGCATGTAATAGCCATCCACGGCAACGCATATAATTTCTTTTGCCTTCTGCTCCATAATCGCATAGAACTCCTCGACTTCTCGTATTTTGGGATCGTACCCGTCCGGACTGACCTCTGCGGGAATGTGCCATTCGGAGCACAGGAGAACTACCAGTTGCTTGAGCGCCGGCAGCTTCATGATTTCGGGCAGCACCGACTTGATGGTGGCCAGATTGAGCTTGAGGGTGGTGAGACTCTGGAGAGATTTAACGCAGTTGTTGAGGCGCAGCTTGCTGATGCCATCGAATGTTCGTATGTCCAGCACTTTGAGGTCACACCGACTGCGGAACAGGTGGTGAATTAGGATAGGAGCAAACTGGCGGAAGTGGCCACAAATCGTTACTTACTGGCAAACCTCATCCAGATACTGCTGGCGCAGCTCGTAGGCCTTGTGCTGGTCCTCATACAGATGAAGTTCTTGCAGGTGCTTAAAGTGAGAGAGATAGCGCCCATCTGTAGGAGTGGTTAGGCGAAGTCTGCGCACGCCTGGCACAATTAGTGTCAACTTGCGTATGCTTCGATTCGATGGATAACAATCCACGTCCTCGGGATCGTAGTAAAAGCTGGTCACCTGGGGCAGCTCCGTAATGTGTATTTCATCCAAATCTTTGAGCAATGTGCACAGACAGCTACTGACGTACATTTCCTTTATAAACGGCTGCATCTGATGAATGAAGTAGTATAAATCATCAAAGTTGGGCAGCAGCTCTCGCCTATAAAAGGATATTGATTATAATCAATAAATGTGTCAAGTGCAATTACACAAATTTACCATTTTTCAAGATCCATTGTGTCATAGGTATGGCTGATGCGCCATTTTCCCAGGGAAATGTTTTGAAACCTCTGGCAGACTTGTGAGAAGTAAATCTCTGTTTGCAAATTTGGCAACCGCTTGAAAATCTCTTCCAGGCAATCGTCATTCAGCTTTAGTATCTCTGAGTTTTGGCCGGTCGGCGAAGACGGCGGTGAATCCTCATTGTCAGACGCCATGGCCGTGGGAGATAATGCTACACGATTTGTATACGGGTATTGTATTGTTTATTTTTATAGAATTTTCCAGTGTCCTCTTGCATACAACCATCGATAGTACTATCGATTGCTGGCAAGCGTTTGGATCCAGTGTGGGTATTCCTAAAACGAAAAAGATTAAAATAAGAATTTTGACAGAATATCTATGCAGTTTAGGCTATGGTATTATCATTATTGCTTAAGTAAACTGCTGCTTTTTAATTTCTTAAATTTGTAGAATAATAATACAAATTTAATAAGACAATTTAATAAATAATCCAATAATAAGGACTTCTGAAAACTTGCCAATCTCTTAAAAAATGTATGTATCTATCGGATAAAACTATTTGTTTAGGGCTGAGAGTCCCAGCTAGCTGGTAATATTAAACGGAATATCAAAATCATGGAATATGATTTCCGATCAACTAAAAATAACTTTAGCCCATTGTCGACCTCGGGGGTACTAAAAATTCCCACGAAAGTAATGAAACTTGAATAATTTTAGCGTAGTTCAGGTGAAAGATATCATGCTCATTTTTGTTTTTAAGTAAAGAGGAGAATAGAGCTGCAAGGTTTATTTACAAACAGTACCATATTCCTCGGTTTAATTCAAGATGTTCAACTTTTTAAATAGAGGGGGCTTAAGTGGGCTAAGTTCGTGTTTTCCTTCGGTATATTATGGAAATGAGAAGGTATATTTCGGTATATTTCTGAGTGTCAGACTGTCACAAACACGTGTGTGCACATTTCTTTTTATTGTAAGCGTAGCGTGTTGCCGGATTTGGAATTGGAAATAAAACAGTGAAATAATTGAAATAAATATGGCGGACCTATTGAAATTAACCGACGCTATCGTATTAGAGTATATACAATCTAAGGACAAGAACCTGGCCAAAGTGTTCCAACAAAAGACGAAGGCGGTAAGTGTATTTTTTTTTTCGTGTGCGGCAAATGCAATATACAATGCACTGAAAAAAAATGCAGCCAGTCAGTGTTCTTGTCTGCATTTGAGACAGCAGGTTGAACATATCCTAATGGTTTTGCAGATCTGTAGATCTGCCTTTCGCCCTGACTCTGGAGCTCAGGTTTCGGTGCCTGCGACCACGTGCTATTTACTAACCAATAATTTCATACATTTCTTCCACAGGCCACAGTTGGCAAGAACACGCCAAAGCTGAGCGACATTTTACAGTTTTACCAGACCAAGAGCACGACAAAAATTCCAGCAATTAAGGCGACAGACGCAGATAGTGACAGTGATTCGGACTCTGATGAAGCTCCAGCGCCGACGAAGAAACCAGCAGCGACCCCATTGACAAATGGCAAATCCGCTAAGACGGCCAAGGCCTCGAGCAGTGATGATAGTTCCTCAGAGGAAGAGCCACCAAAGAAGGCAGCAGCAGCATCGCCAGTAAAGACCGCTCCGGCCAAGAAGGCTACTTCCTCCAGTGAGGACAGTGACGACTCTGAGGACGATAAGAAACCGGCTGCTGTTGCCAAGACACCAGTCAAGCCGACTCCAGCCAAAAAGGCGGCATCTAGCAGCGAAGAAAGCAGTTCCGAAGAGGAAACAGCAAAACCAGCGGCCAAGGCACCAGCAAAGTCTGCGCCTACCAAGAAAGCCGAATCCTCCAGTGAGGATAGCGATTCTGATGAGGAGCCAGCCACGAAGAAGCCTGCTCCTGCCAAGACAGCTGCGGCCAAGCCTGCTGCGTCTTCGAGTGAAGAGAGCGACTCCGAGGAGGAAAAGAAGCCCGCTGCAAAGGCTCCAGCTAAGGCAGTGCCCAAGAAAGCAGATTCCTCCAGTGAGGACAGTTCCTCGGAGGACGAGGCACCTAAGAAGGCGGCCACAGTGAAGGCAAGCCCAGCCAAGGCTGCGCCTGCAAAGAAGGCTGCGTCATCCAGCGAGGAGAGCGATTCCGATGAGGAGCCACCCACGAAGGCGGCTGCTCCGGCCAAATCAGCTGCAAAGGCAACTCCGGCAAAGAAGGCGAAATCCTCCAGCGAGGACAGCGATTCCGATGAGGAAGAGCCAGCCAAGAAACCTGTTGCCAAGGCAGCAGCCAAGCCCGCAGCTGCATCGACTAAGAAGGCAGGTGAATCCGAGGACTCTTCGGATGATAGCGAGAGCTCTGAAGACGAAAAGCCCAAGCCTAAGGCCAAGCCTGCTGCCAAGGCTCCAGCCAAGGCGGCCGATACGAGCAGCGAAGGCTCGTCAAGTGAAGATGAGGCTCCTGCTGCTGTCAAGCCGGCAGTGAAGAAGACTGCGGCCCCGGCCAAGAAGGACGAATCCTCCTCGGATGACTCTTCCGACGATGAGGCCCCACCCGCTGCCAAGAAGCCAGCGGCCAAGAAGGCCGAAAGCAGCGACGATGACAGCGATGATTCCGACGAGGCCAAGCCCAAGGCGGTGGCTAACGGTGGAGCCAAGGCTGGCCAGAAGCGCAAGTTCAGCGGTGGCGATGAGGAGGAGGCCACGCCCAACAAGAAGTACAACAACTTTGTCAAATCGGGAGACCAGAAGGTGAGTTGTTGAACCCTTTTTCCTTTGCCCTTTTCCCCGTGAATATCCCGTGTCAAGCCATTGAGACATTTATCTGTTGCAAAACCACAGCAGAATAGTTTCACCTCCACTCCCAACAACAACAACCACAACAACAGCAGCAGGCAGTTGAACAGCAGCGGCGGTGGTGGGAGTGGCCGACGCCGATCTCCCTTCCGGCGTGTTCGGACCGAGGAGATTCTGGTCGATTCCCGAGTACAAGACATGTCCTTTGAGGCCAAGGTGAGTGCCGCAAATGCATTTGAGTCGCGTCAGATGTGTGTTTGTGTGTGTGTGTGTGCAGCAGCAGGGTATGGTTGGGACTGAGGGTTCTCTGCAGGATTACGCAGCCAAGGGGGGGCAAAACACACAAATTAGCAAGACAATACGCCCGACAAAAACTCAAATCATTTGTGGCACTTGCCGCCCCATCCTATGTTTCCCCACTCATTCCCTTTTTTACATCTGCAAATCTTTGCTAATTTGTGGTTTGCCCTCTTTGGCCTTTCTCCCTTGCAGGATGGCGGCGGCTTCAAGAAGCAGAACGGACGCGGCGGCCGGGGAGGCTCCGGTTTTGCCGGACGTCCGGACCGCAGCACCTGGGAGAGCAACAATCAGAACGGTGGCGAGGAAGGCGGCGAGGGCGGTGGCTTCAAGAAGATTGGCGATCGTCGTAGCTTTGGTGGCTTTGACAAGAAGCCATTCGAGGGACGTGGCGGTGGACGCGGCGGCGGCGGTGGTTTTGGCGGTGGTCGTGGAGATGGACGCGGTCGCGGTGGTGGCGGACGCGGCGGTGGTGGCTTTGGCCGTGGAGGTGGTGGCGGATTTGGTGGTGGCCGTGGAGGTGGCGGTGGCTTCGGTGGTGGTCGTGGAGGCGACCGCGGAGGACGCGGCTTTGGAGGCCGTGGCGGCGGTGGACGCGGTGGCGGCGGTGGTTTCGGCAACAAATCTTTCGACTCATCAGCGCCCAAGGCTAACAAGAAAATCACCTTCGACAATTAGATCTAGCTAAGTTCTCCTCCTCCCCACCCACAAGCACACACACACACACAAGGATGCGCAGATGATTGCAGATTTGTTATGTATTTAGAATTAAATCAGTTTAAACAATTTTATGCTTACGCGAACCCCCTGCCCTGTATAGAAAAACGCTGCCGGCTCCTGGGGCGAACGGGCCAACATCGATCTGAAGCACACCCGTGGCAAGTCCTTCAAGCATGAGAAGACCAAGAAGAAGCGCGGCAGCTATCGGGGCGGCGCAATTGACATGGGCGTCAATTCTATAAAATTTGACTAGATTTACGAGTACACACACACACTATATATAATATTCTATATTCTAACAGATAAGGAAACTTTTGTAGAATAGTCTCTACATCATTATACCGATATACACAGCAGTTATGGCCATTATGGCCTATGCAATAATACTATTGCTATTCTGTAAAATCATTTTCTTCTTTCGATTCGGTACGCCTTATATTATAGAGCCTAAGTTTCAAATTGAAATAATCCAAAATGAGAACTGGCGGTCAATAAAACCGTAACCACACTACAAAATGATTTTTTTTAATTATATTTTATTATATAATTTTTATATTATATAATTTAATATGTTCGGTAAAATAAACCGATGGAAATATACGCAACATTTGTATTTTGAAATCAAGAAAACGGTGATTTTAAACGTTATTGCAAGGCTGCCAATTTTTACAGATCCTTTATCTTTGCTGCACACACACAGTAAGTATACGATTATAATTCGGATGAATAAATGTAACTATCATATGTACACATATCTAACATAAGAGCGATCGGTTGATAAATCCGATGAATCGAAAAGATAATCGAAGGCATCAATATTGTTATGTTCTTGTCTCTGACTTGAGAAGTCTTATTTAGAAAATATTTTAAGTGTTATTCCAAACCAGTCAGTTAGGACTTCGTCTTTCTCCCTTCGTCTTTTTGTCTGCCTCTCAGTTTTAGATGTATTTGTAAATTATATTCTTTGCCCTAAACGTATATGGTCATATCCGCGGGTCGCGAACGTACGTTCGCACGCTTTTAATGCACAAAAAAGATAGAAAACAAAAACATTCCAAGACTTTTTTTCTGCGTTTCAATAGCATTTTGTTAGCTCTATGCTTAGTGCAAATGATGGGGTTCATCGAGTTTTAGTTTTTAAAATAATTTAAAAAAACATGCGGTCGCGAACGTACGAAAAATAGAAGTCGACTTTGACTTAATATAGAAAAATGCAATTATCTGCGAATTGGAACGGAATATTCTTTAACGATAAATTGACTTTAAAAGAGGATTAATGTAGCTTTCTATAAAGTATATTCACATAAAATTATCTTCATTGGTTTTAAAAAAATTAAATTAAGCGGTGCACGCGGGTCGCGAACGTACGATTTTTCCATATGTATTTTAAATTTTTTCACCTTACGTTTTCTCTTGAATCAGTTCATATTTCCCTTAAAACCAACTAATTACTCCATTTTATGTACGTAATAACATTTATAGTAAGAAGAGAAAATTTTATTTAAAATGAAAAAAATGAGCTGCTTTTTCGAGCAATTCATTTTACTTTTGTGGATCGCTTTTAATTTTATTGAGATATCGGGTCTGTTTTTCACTTGTTTTAGCCATCTACGAATATTTATATGCGTGTTAAATAATTAAAAGTAAAAGTAACAAATAAAAAAAATACTTACGGTCGCGAACGTACGCTACTTCGAAAATCAAAATAAAAAGTTTGGTTAATAATAACCCCAAAGTTTTTTTATATATAAAATAGTTACACAAAACTTACTTTACACATGCAGTTTAAGCCACCTGCTTGCATTCAATGCGAAGCAATTACAATAAAATGATGTTTTCGGTCGCGAACGTACGATTAGAACATAGATAAGAAGCAAAATAAAAATTAACCGTTAACTGAAGATTTTTTCGGTCTCTTTGCATTTTTCTCTTCTTAACAGATTGCAATAGAGAGATTTGGTAGAAAGAGTGCAAACATATCATATGTTTTGCATGCAAAATAATTAAATATAAAAATGCCTTTAAAAAAAGCTAAAAGTGAAGAAATCACATTTTTCAAGTTTTCAGGCAAATTTTCTCATGAAAACCACTGAGATATGCCATAAAACCATGGCATTATGAAAATTTGGACATTTCTTTATAAGAATACACAAAAAAATACGATGATTATGAACATTTTATTTTTCGGTCCTGGTTGACCATTCGGCGGATATGCCCATATATGTAAATATAAGTCGAAACCCCTATGATATGATCATTATATCGTATATCGTATAGCTGCTGACATAGGAACGAACCTTGCCACCCACAAAGTCTTAAAAACAATTTCATATAAATTTTGATTAGTTTTGAAATTTAAATAATTTATTTTTACTGTATGTTACTAAGTTTCCATTTATCTCTTTTAGTATCTTTCACATTTAGTATTCGAAATGTATTGTCAAGTGTTTGTTTGCTTTTACATACGTTTGTGTGGTGTATATAGAGGCATATTTATCATATAATACAGATCACAACTGAAAACAAAAAAAACGAGCATATATCGTAAGGATAAAAACAAAAGGCGGACAAAACATAATTAAAAATCATATAATTAAGCAATCACAATACGTTTAAAACTTTAGGTTTTTATAGAGATATTATTTTAGTATTCGTGGCATATAATCAATCATGTGTTTGTGTGTGTGTGTATGTGTGTGACGGTTTAAAAGGGTAATCAGCATATCAATTTACAACAGTTTTGGAGGCGCATTCATTGTCTCATGGGTTCTTGCTCTCATCCGAGATTCGTGTGTGTGCACAACATTTAACTATCTGAACTAGGGGTAGGTGTTACGGGAGGCGGGGTAAAGGGTGGGGGAGTTTGGGTCTTGTTTAAAAATAGTTCAACAAAATACATATACATTTATATATATTTATATAGTTAGTAGTTTATATGAGATTCCTGTCGGTTTTAGCTTCTGCTTCTCGGCTCCTCCTCAGCTTATTCGCTCATGTAGGGATAGTTGACGTCACGCAGGGGCACAAACGTCTCCTTGATGGACTGCGGCGAAGTCCAGCGTAGAATGTAATGGGGTCCGCCGGCCTTGTCGTTGGTACCGGACATCCGACCTCCGCCGAACGGCTGTTGGCCCACAACAGATCCGGTCGACTTGTCATTGATATAAAAGTTTCCGGCAGCCATTTTGAACTCGTCCAATGCGGCTTGGACCCAGTTCCTTTACAAAGGAGATATACAAAACATATTTAAAATTTTCAGATAATTCCGCTTACTCGTCCTGTCCGAATATTGCTCCAGTTAAGGCAAACTTCGTGGAGGTGTGAACCAGCTTCATGGTCTCCGCCAAGTCCGCTTCCTTGTACACATAAATGGACAGCACGGGCCCAAAGATCTCCTCAACCATGATGCGATCCTTGGGATCTTTGCTAACCACAATGGTGGGATTTACAAAGTAGCCCTTGCTGTCTGAGTAGGTGCCCCCAGCGATAATCTCCAGGTTTGGGGACTTCTTGGCATGCTCTATGTAGCTGGTAATGCGTTTAAATGCTTTGTCATCGATGACAGCCGATGTGAAGCTGCTCATGTCTTGGACATCACCTATTTTTAGTTTCTCCGCCTCGCACTGCAGGCCAGCCTTGATCTGCGAAGAGGTTGAAGGTCAAACAGATTAGTAGGGGGCATTCAGTACGCTGAATGGTGCTCGACCAACCAACCTGTGGCCACAGAGACTCGGGCACATACATGCGCGAGCATGCCGAACACTTCTGTCCGCAATACTCGAAGGCCGAGCGAATTGTCGATGTCACCACCGACTCGACGTCCGCCGTTTTGTGCACAAAGTGGAAGTTCTTGCCACCACACTCGCCAGTCAAGCGGGGAAAGTTGATGTAGTTGTCAATGTTGTTGCCCACCTGTTTCCACAAGCGGTTAAATGTTCTGCCAGATGGATAAAATATACATATAGAACAGAAATCGATAATCCGACTGTTACTTACGGCACAGAGCCAGTGAAATTGATGCCGGCCAGGTGGGGGCTGGCAGTAATCGTGTCTCCGAACACAGGCCCATCGGCTGGCACAAAGTTAACAACGCCATCGGGCACTCCTGCCTCGCGCATGATATTGAATATGCGCCAATTGGAAAGCATGGCCGTGTCAGAGGGCTTCCACAGCACAGCATTGCCCTGGTCAAAGAGAAAGGGCACAGCTGTTAGCTTAATTGATTGAGAATTTTAGGGGCTAGGTCGTCGTCATACCATCAGAGCGGGAGTGTAGGACAAGTTGCCGCCAATGGCCGTGAAGTTAAAGGGGCTGACAGCGGCAATAAAGCCGTCAATGCCACGATACCGCAAGGAATTCTTGGTCACCTTGATGTTCTCACTAATGGGCTGATATTTGGAGACCTCCTTGAGGAAGTATGCATTCAATCTGCAAGGAAATTAGTCTTAAGTAATGCGATTTCCTTGACGTTAACTCCCTGCATTTACCGTATAAAGTCAATGAGCTCTGCTGCCGCATCGATTTCGGCCTGAATGACCGTCTTGGACTGTCCCAACATGGTGGCCGAATTTAATTCCTGTCGGTACTTTGTGGCCATCAGATCAGCGGCCTTCTCCCAGATATTCAGGCGGTCGGCCAGTGGTACCCGATCCCACTTAGGCTGCGTTTCCACAGCGGTCTTGATGGCCTTCTGCAGGAGCTTCTTATCGGCGTAGTAGAATTGGGCCAGCTTGTGTGCATGATCGTGGGGCATGACCTGATGCCGCACTTCGGACGTCTTGAACTCCTTGCCGCCTATCACAATTGGAATCTCCTCGCAGTTGGAGGCCGTTGCCTTCAGAGCTTGCTGTAAGGCCTTGCGTTCCGGCGAATCCTTGCAGTAGTTAAGAATCGGCTCATTCTCGACACTAAAGTCCTTTAGTTTTAGCTCCGGAATTACAGAGCCCAGACATCGCACATGGCTAGCGGAGGATAAGTGGCGTTACATAAAACTCTCGGTTGACATAAAAATCCACAGCAACTTACCTCTGGATTACGCTCTGCTGGCCGGAGCACCTGGCGGGCGTATTGCGCAGCAATCGCAACATCTTTTACTGGTTTGAGGGGCCTGTCTGTCGGTTTCTGCCTTGTTATATAAGCTTTGGTGTCGTCGTCGGCGTCCGCGGTAGTTCGTTTCAACTAGAATTTAGCTATCTGTGTGATAAGCACAACGGCAGGCGAAAGGTACAGAACGAAACGAAAAACATTTGATTATTTTTCATTTATCAGCGCAGCCTTGAAAATTCATTGGGGGTCTACTCGGCTCGGCTGAGTCGCGCGAGCAGCAACAGCGGCAGCGTCACTGTCGCGTGATTTTGATAAGCAGCCAAACGTGAAGAGAACCGACACACCCCCGGGGCCTAAACCAAGATAAGGCTACACTTGATCGAATAAAGCTATGTACTTGCATTTAATATTACCTCGAATATCAAGTTAAGTGGATTTTTTAGCGCGAATTGAACACTGAATAAACTCTGAAAGTTTTTTTCTCGGTATCTAAATTGTCTTGCTCGCGCACACATACAAACACACACACGAACTTGCTTGCATACATGCAAAAGAAAAATTTGACAAGCATCAGCTGTTCTGTCTACGCTGCACAGTGGTGCGTGTGCTTGCCAACACTGAACTTTCCTGCAACGACATTGAATCGCCATAATAGAGAAAAAACCAGTCTTCTATTTACTGCTATAGAGAATTTGTAGAAGGAATTAATATCATTATCGCCTGCTAGCTTTGAATATTTTGACCACTGTGCGCTAGCTACGGAAAGTTCCTATTGCCGAAACATACCGATATATGTACATTGTACATACATATGTATGTACGAACATAAAAGGAGGGCAACGTCAGCATTGGAGCTTATGCCAAAGGTATGTACGTATGTATGTATGTATGTATGTAGTTCTTGTTGTTTTTTAACTGGCGCTGCCTTGATTTATGAAATTAAGCAGACTGAACCAGCGGGGAGAGCGGCAAAAACAACCCACTTTGTACCCGTGGATGTTCATGCTGCGCGTGAGCAGCAACCATGAGAGTTAGAAAGAGAAAGGTAGAACAATATATGGAGCAAGCATTTTTGCATTGTTCGTCGATTGTCAAGTGTTTTCAATAAAATGCAATTAAAGAGAAGATGATTGATTTTACCAATACATACCATACCAGTACGTGACTACAGACAACATACTGGTGTGTATGTATGTATATTTATCGGTAGAACAACAATAAAAGCCAACAAAAACGAGAACAAGTCACAAGTTGATTTTTGAGGCCAAGTAAAACGTACAACAAAAATTCGTCACTCAGCTGTAGATACACACACACACAGGCGCATTCAAATTCACTTAGTTTTTGCCTGTTTTACTCTTGATGTTGTTGTTGCTGTTGCTGCTGCTGTGACCCATTATGCAATGTAATGTTTGTGTCTTTGATTCCCTTTTGTTGTAGGCTTATTGGTCGTTTTGCGACCCTTGCTTTCAATAAATATTCCCACTGTAACACTATGCACAAAATTTGCATTGGTTTTCCACTTACTTTGTTTTAATTTCAGGCGGCAGAGACGGTCAAAAACGCGACTGTGCTTTTGTTTGGCTGGGACTATTTTAGCCAAATAGAAAGAGCGCTATAAAATTTGGCCGTTGCCGGTAGTGCTGTTAAATATATATCGATTTATTTTTAGCCGATTTTAGGTTTCAATGTGAATACTTTCGTGTGATTTTTTTAGGTTGGCGCCATTGACCGAGTTCAAATAGTCAATTTAGTGGGTACTTTTTTTTTCAATTTAAAAAGAATTAAATCTGTTGACGACTGCATTTACTGGGGGGTTGGCTTCATTTCAAATTGGCTGCAAATTAGTCGGCTTCTTATTTATTTGATTTTAAAAAATTGCTTTTTATCTTCGTTCAAATGAACTTGAACTGATTTATCGACTGCTATCGACTCATGGCAACGGCGTACTTTACAACACTTGGTCTAGCATTCGCTATCCGCGCCAAAATTTGAAATTTGAAAAGCTTTGGGAATGTTATTTACACATTTATTCATGCTTGAACACATCTATTATAGGAAAACACTTAACCAATATGTACTGTCTAACTAGCTTAGGATGATTATATCACTCAAGGATCAGCCGTAGTAGCCGCCGTTCCCCGCACTGGCTGTGGCAAAGCCGCCACTGCTGCTGGCATACGCCGTGTCTATAAGAGAAAACATGTCCAAAACACTTGTAGATTGCAGGCGAAAGATTAAGAGAGTTTCGGCGAGATTCGCATGGATTTCTACTTACTCATTCCGTTGCCTCCGCCGTACGGATAGCCGCCGTAGCCGGGATAGCCAAATTGCGATTGACCGTATTGACCATATTGGCCGTATATCGAATAGGGATTGTAGCTTGGATATGAGTAGTAGGGATATCCGCCGTAGCTGGGATAACCATAACCATAGGCATTGCCATAACCATTTCCAAAGCCACCTCCCGCTCCAGCGCCGGCACCTGCACCACCATAGTACGGATATCCATAGTACTGACACTGAACCATCTGCAGAAGTGTGGCCCACAGGACTAGTCCCAGCCAGAGGCAAGCTCTTGTAGTTTTTGCTGACATGTTGTTTGGTGGTTGGTTTGTGTGTAATCCTCGAGCGCTGACTGAATGCAAAACCTCCGGAACTAACTGATTTTATAGAGTTCGCCCCCGTTGTATATTCGCGATTTTTACCAAACCATAAAACGCTTTTTTAATGGTGCTTAATCGCTTGCCCATCAAGCATTGCTCATCGCCGCCGCCGCCACAGCCGCACTGTACGCTGGCTGTTTGCTTGTTCGTGCATGACCCAAGCGGCGTATACGTATTTTTACAATATTGTGTAAACCGTAAATACATCCATGAACAGAAACAAAACAACACATAATTGTTGTTGGGCACTATTTGTTTACAAGCTATCTCAACATATTGTTCTGACAACCGTTTTGCTCTCAGTTTCAATTAGTTAGGCAGGGCTTTGGTTTTTTGCGGCCAGTTTTCCGCATAAACATAGTCATTAGCCTTAAAATTGTTCGATGGTCCGCTTAGTCATGTGGCTGTTGTTCGGGTGGTTTCCACTCTTTGAGGTTCATTGCCTGGTGGGTGGTCAATGCTCATCAACGCCCTTCAAATGAGGTCAATAATTATAATTCTTCTGACGGTTATCATTTTAGTTTAAGCATTGACCGAGAGTTCAGTCTGAAGGACTTTTAACTTTTCGTCATGCATGGTGGGCATACTTGGGAATTTCCAACCAATCTGGTATAGATTACATCAATCAACTTGCAAATTTCTTTACGGTGATTACCTATCCGAGTATGGGCTGTCCTGTCCCATCTTTTTGCCCTTGTACATTGACAAATTACAAGTCACAATATTTTATGCATTTTTCCAAACCCACACATAGAAAGAGAAAGAGAGAGAGAGAGAGAGGGGTCTGACAGAGAACAGAAAACTTGTGCCAAAGTTGTGTACGAAAATTCATTCATAAATTTTTAAATCCTTTTTCCTTTCCCATACTTTTTCCCATTTGTGTTGGTGTGTGCTATTACACTGGCCAACAATAACAAATGTCATAGAATTGCCATCGCTTCTATTCTTCTTCTTGTCGAGCCTTTGAGTTCGCATGCAGCTGACGTTTATCTCTCTCTCCCCATCTCTATTTTTTGCCTTACCTCTCTCTCTCTGTCACTCTACATTGCCGCATTACTTTCGGTTCTCCAGGTGTGCTTTTGCGTAGGTGTTGCATTGTTGCTGCTCTCCAGTTGAGTGAGTTGCATCTGCATCGAGTTTGGACGTGTTTGCGCATGCTCAAGCATGCTCAAGCATGCTCAAGCATGCTCAAGCACTGATTTCGAAGCACCCTGTACGCGCATTTGGTTCTCCGACTGAGGCTGAGTAATGTTTTTGAGTGCATAAGAGTGGAACGTCTTTTGTTGCAGTTGTTTCCTATCGTAAGACAATCGTTTTTAGAGGGTTTTACAAAAGCCAATATAAATAGTATGAGCAACGCCCATACATTTTACAACTGAAATAATTATCTCTCAAATGAAAGCCTAGAAAATTATTTAAAGTTCTGCTTTGCGATTCTGCCTGAGCTATAAACTGTTGACATTTGGAGTTCTACCCTAGGATTACCTCGACTACAATCTTAGAGCATAAATACAACAGGAAATAAAAATACAATGGCATTTAAGGTTTTTCAAGGGACTATTGCGGTCAATTTTAATCATCTGTTCAATCATAGTAATCCTACTCCATCCATACCATATAATTCCATCCCAAAAACCCTTTAATGTTCATTAATGTTAACCATTTAGCCTTATCTCGGGGTTGGAATCAATCGGAAAAGGACGCATTCCCCAGGCCCCAATCCCCGCCACTTAATTTACTTGCCCCAAATGAGCAATTTTCATATTAAAAAGTTTGTCTGTACCTCGCTACCTTCTCCTGAAAGCTATCCTTCACAAAACTTCATTAAACTTTTCGTTCCTTTCGCTTCGTTTCAATTCATTTTCTCCTTTTTTATGTTTTTTTTATTGTAATAAATTTGGTACAATAAAATGCTAATTGTTTGTCCGAAAATGCCTGAACCATTCCCCTTTTTGGATACTTTTTCCATTTGCCAAACAGTTTTACATGTAATTAATTAAAAATTTGATGCAGCAGCAACTTTTGTTTGCTGTCAGAAATGCACTAAAAAAAAAGTAAAAGCTAATTAAAACTTGAAAAATATGATGGGGAGCATCAACTAATGCCCTGACCTAGAAGAGATCGGCCCACAGAGAAAGCACTCTGGGTACAACTACCCGGAAAACTCACTCAAAGTTGTTTGCTGCAACGAGGGGGAGACGGAGACCCGAAGCGGATGCAAAAGTGCAACTGAAAATGTTACGCATACGCCGCATGGGCCCGAGAGAGAGATGAGCATGCTGAGGCCGTCTCGCTCTGAGTGCATGGCGGGTTGGGGGACGAACAAAAAATAAAGAAAAAATCAATTAAAATGCACTCGAGTGGGATTGTACCACCCGGCACACTCTACGACACCTCCTCAATGGGGATGTTGGGTTTTTAGGAAATTTGTAAGAAATTTTTGAACGAAAATAAGCAAATTCTTTCTCTTTCTCTTTCTCTCTCGCTCTCGCTCTCTCACTCTCTTTCTCTTTCGCCCTTACTCGCTATAGGTTTCGCGGGGGGATATTTCAATTCAGTTATTTGTGCAATTCCGCTCAGACAAGTTGTGTGCTCCTTGGGACCGTGTGCGCTTTCAGCATTCTCAATCAATCAGCAGACCCAAAATCGACCATTTCCGAACACAGATAACAGCCAGAAATTTACGCCAAAAATTAACAGGCTCCGCCCCCCGCCAGTGCCCACAGCAGCAAACAGCGGATCAAGTGCATTATCCAAAAGGCCGCCCGCCCAACCGCCCAACCGCAATCAACATCCCAGACAACGGAGCCATAGAGAAAGAGAGAGACAGACAGAGAGAGTGGGAGAGAGAGAGTAGAAGGGAAATAACAGTTCCGAAAGCTAATAGCATTTTGCTTTCTCTGTGCGTGTGTGTGTGTTTGTGTGTGCGTGTTTTGCCGCGTGTTTTCTTCCTGTGTGAGTGACTGTACTTTTTGGCGCCCAAAAACATTCGCGCGAATCAGCAGAAACAAGCAAACAAACAAACAAACGGACAGACAGAAAAAACATTCAAACTAATTAACAACATTGCGACCAAGTGAAATTTAATGTATTGACAGGTGAGTGTTCTGGCTGTAAAATAAATGTTACAGTTAATACTCGTATGAAGGTTTATAGGTCCATGATGGACGGTATGGTATGAAGTTGATTGAAGCAAACTGATTGCATATATATAATTTATGGTAATTTATTTGATTGGTATACACATACATACATAAATGTATGTACATAGATAAGGGGGATATACATTTACATGAACAATATGTACTTTTAATGGGGAAGAACCTATTTAAAACTGTTCATGATCTAGCAATGGATATCTATCAAAGTGTGATATGTTATTCCTTGGTCATTAAATATTTGAAGGTCTTCGATTCGATGAATAGCTCTCGCAATACAATCATTAGAAAAAACATACGCAAATAATGAATTGCGCTCATTTTTCTATTCGCACTACAAAATAGGAAGAAATAAACTATGTAAATTGAATTTCTTTAGATTTGTTGTTTAACAATAATCCCTCCTAAGATCTAAGGTATAAATTTATATCGATCACGAAAAGCTCAAAAATCATATTGCATCGATTTAAATTTTGTTGTTCTCTTGGCGTACGCTTAAATTCGGTTCCTCTCTTTCCCACTCGCCATTCATGCATCCTATTTTGTCATGTATACTTTTCTTTAGAAACAATTTTGACCCGTCCCTTTTTTTTTTCCTGTACGTCTCTTATTCCACACATTTCTTCTCTAGAGGGAAACTCGAGCGATGCAATTTAAAATAATTTAGCGAGTAAATCCCATAAAAATTTCAACAACTTTGGCTATTTGTTGCCACGTCATAATGCATTTTTTTCGTTTCGTTTCGTTTGGGGGCAAAGACAATGGCCCAGACGCAAGGACACACACAGGAGGGGCAGTGGGTGGTAGTAGTGGAGTAAGAGGACTAATTAAAACTCCGGTAGACGTCATAATTGGAGGGCGTGCTGGAGGGAGGGGTGGGTGTTGGGCCAGGCGGTGGCGAGTAAATTAACTAGGCGAAGGCTTTGTAAAGCATGCGGCCAGCCTCTATAGTTCGTCGTCTTCTGCTTTCCCCCCTACTCATTGAAAGTATATAAAAAATTTCCCTTTAATGGAGCCATGGACCAAAAATCCTGAAAGAAAGAAGTAAAAATAAAAACAAAAAAAGGCAAACGAATAAGAGGGAAATAACTAAAAGGAGAGATGAGAGAGTGAAGTGAAAAGAACCAAACCAGAACAGAACAGAGCAGAAAACTGAGAACGCAACCGAGTGCCGAGTGCTGAGGCAAAGAGAAATATATTTTCACCGTGCACTGTAATGAAAGGCCTCGGGCATAAGTTTTAAATAAATATTTGTCCCTGTGCATGTGTGTGTGTGTAATTTAACAAAAACAACTGCATAAAAACAAACAGAAATTGTGCACGAAATGATGGAAGAAGCAGCAGCAGCAGCAGCAGCGGAAGAACCAAAGAAATGGACAAGGGTCGGTCGGTCGGTCGGTCCGTGGAGAGGTAGAAGCTGGCCAGAAACTACTGCATATAAAAAAAAAATGATGAGAGGCAACGAAAATATAAAAAGGAAAAATTAAAAAAAAAAAACGTAACAAGTAACAATGTTCAAAGAGGAAAAGTACGAGGGGAATACTCTAGGAATATTCTATTCAGGCACAATAAACAAAAAGGATTGCATCTTTAATATTAAATAGGGGAAAGACCAATAGAATGAAAATAAAATCGCAGAAAATGTCGAGAGATATAAATAAATAAGATATTGTGGCATTATAATATTTAGATCTTCATATTTTTATGTTTGCAAATGCGTACTTGGATGACATCAGCATTGTATGACGAAGATCAGTTTAATTCGTTCAGCTAGATAGATTCTAATAAAGAAAACCTTGGCAAAAGGGATCCCGCTTACTGATCATACCCTGTTGTATACCCTAATCATTTTGTAGTGCATAATTATGAGGGGGCACGGACACCCATTTTGAGTCTACCCAAAGGGGTGATCTGAAGGGGGCGAAGGCTAGGCAAACAGGCAGAACATAACAGTAAGAAAACTGCCTGACGGACTGCCTGAATGTTCCCCACTGTTGACTGACTACCAGAGGGACAGAGGGAATGGTTTCGTGGTGGGTTTGGGGGGCTGTTTTGCTGGAGAAAAGTCACTATTAAAGTCTTAGTGAAAGTAGGTTGAGGTAGCCCCCGACAGGCGCCGCCATGTTTAGAATATGCACACAAAGCGTAAGGCCAACAAAGGGGGAAAGAATGGGTAGAGAGTGGAAGGCACAGGGGGGCTGGCTTCTGGGGCACAGAGAGGAGGAGGTCTAAGGGGGCTTGTTGCTCTGTTAGACAGTGTAACAAAAGATTTGCTTAGCTTTCATGTAAAGCGTAAAATACAAACAATTATGCAGTTGGGTGGGTAGGCAGAGATTCAACCCCCTCTTACCGAACCGCTGTTTCTGTTTCTTACCCCTGCTCCGAAACCCCTCTTTTCCAACGACTGTGCCTCAACCCCATCCTCAGTTCGCTGCCTTCCCATCATTTTCTATTTAGTAGGCCGTCAAGCCACTTGAGTCCGAGACTTTGCTACTTGAAATTTTGGACAATGCAGCCAGCCAGCGTCTACCTCCTCCACTTTCTAGGTCCTCATTTCAGCCTCTTTTATGCATACATTCTGTACATTCTTCTTCTGTAGTAAAGGGTGCTACGATTCGGCGTAGCCGAGGCCTACAAAAATATGACAAATTACAAAATAATTGTGCGCACAGTCAAAATGTTGTCCTCGTTTTGTTGTTCTCGTTGTCCCTGTTGCTCTCCTTATGTTCTGTTCTGTGTTCTCCTTCTGCTTCCATACACCTCCTATAAAACTCATCCTCTTCAGCTACAGACCTCGTCACCGTCACCGTCACCGTCATCGTCAGCATACCTTGCAATATTAATGAACTCTTTTACATCGTCTGTCATTTCCATGGCATTCGGCGGCAGTGTAAACCGCAGCAGTTTTACCCCGCACCGCCTCATCTCAAAACCCCCAGCAAAAGCTCTCTGTCGTCTGCCTCCTTCCAATATCAGTTCCGCTCCTATTTGCAAGGCTTGGGGTGGCTTGGGAGCATTATAGAGCAGACTTCGACAGAGGCCCGACATCATGACGTATTTACTTTAGGCCCTGCATATAACAAAAAAAAATGTTTGGTTTATGCGGCTGAGCTAACGCAATAAGTTTGGGCACCGCGAATGAAAATTCGGAAAAAAATGCTTAAAGTTATATTTCAGCATTAATAAGAGGATTTTTTATTTAAATATATTTTATGTTTAAATAAAATATTTTTCGTATTTGAATTAAATATTTTTATGTTTAGATTACAACAAAATTTCCTAAAACTGGAATTTAAATATGGTTGTGTTTTACTTTACTATGCTCTTCCACCCTTGGTGTAAATATTTATTTTCCTTTGGTTATCATAACTTTTACTACTCCACAGTTCATGATTACTTGCGCATAAACATACTCCTTTAGTGGCGCAACCGACTCACACCCAAACCCCTGGGAAGGGGCTGACAGGGCCCTCAACTATTCGCCCACAACTGTCGTTCCTCCCAAATCCCATCCCTGTTCCCATTTCCAGTTCCATCCACGTTACGGAGCATCCGTGTCGTTCCCAAATGAACGCGTTCGCTGTGCTTAAAGTTTGTTACTCGAAATGCATTTTATATGGCCCGTTAGCCGTTACATTTGTGTTTGCATTGGCCCGCGGGTATTCATTAAAGTTGAGGGCTCCATTCATACATACACATATACTTTACTGTACAGATATACATACATACATATGTATAGATATTGTACGCCATGCCAGACTTTAAGCTGACTGACAATATTCTGGCTGGAGCCAAGGTCTGGCACATGGCAGGGCAAGTTAGTTTTTGGCGTCGGGGAAAAAAACTAAAAAAGGAAATTAAAGGAAAATGTTGCGTCGCTCTGCTCTCCTGGTTTGAGTAATGGAACTTTTGTCGGGCGGTCGGAATGGGATGGGATGGGAAGTGGGGTATGAAATTGGAAGCTGAAACTAGGACTGGCTCTGTGTCGGGGTCTGGTTCTGGGTCTGAGGGCGTCGAATGGATAGACAGCTCAGACGTTTCGAGTTAGCTTATTACATGGCCGAACTCCCCTGCTCAGCTGCGTATGGGATGGGATGTGTTTGTGTGCTGGCCAAAAACTTATTAGACAGTCGGAAATTGAATATTGTTCCTGCAAAATTGTTAAATGTTCATCACAGGCTCCTCTGTCACTCTGATGTTTCCTGTTTTCATTCGCCCCTCTGTGATTGCGTTGTGTGCCTGAAATTTGTGCGGTTTTCCTCTATCTCCCATCCGTCTGACTTTCAAATTGTTTTGCTATGCATACGTAGGGGCAAGTAATTAGAGCAATGTGCAGCAAAAGTTTACCCCCACGGTCCCCAGAGCAGACCCCATTGGCTAATGTGTGAAAAGACAGCCAGGGAAGGGGATGAGACGAGTATGCACGGTAATCCGGATTAGATTGTGGATCAGGAAGTGCTCTGTCTAAAGGTGAGCCAGCGGAAGGACTTAGTTATCTATGAGGGGACTATATTTTGTTGGCTTATCATGGAAAATAGTTCGTGTGTGGATTATGGTTGAGTCGGACGGGCTAAGGTCATGTCAGGTAGATAGATTCAGTATATCATTGGCTGCCAACTATTCAAATGTGGCAGGATGAAGTTCCTTTTAAAGAGTTCCTTTATGGCCTGCAGCCATAGAATCTTTTGGGGTTTTTGATGGAAAATTTAGTTGGGAATTTTAATTGGTTTTTGCTTAGATGTTTGCCTTCAATTTCAGCAATTTGTTGCAAGCAAAACTCTCCAAAACTCTTCAGATATCCCCTTCCACTTATTCGCATCCGTTTTCCGTTTCCATTTTCGTTTCCGTTTCCATGGCACTTGAACCGCAACTTCAGATAAATGTAAGCACATCTGCAGGCGAGACGAGTAGAGTCGAGTCCCCTTATTAGTCACATTCGG